GATAGCCACCTTGCTGAAGCACATGTTATTCCTAATACGCTATTGGCCTCGGCCTACTCAAAGGGAGCCTCTTGGATCCTGGACCCATCTTTCTCTACTACTTTCTTCACTGCATCAGCATACGACACGTTCTGTACTACTCTGACCCTGGCAACCTCAACCTGCCTTTCTCTCACTGGACATGTTTGATCTCGGGCAACATGGGTACCCCTACAGTTAAAGGCCCAGTGCAGTCAAAATTCAGTATTTCCTGTGTTTTGTATCATATTGTACAACAGCTGATGAAACTAACACTGTAAATGTGTGGGTAAAAAAATGCAATCTACTCAGGATCTTCTAATCAGCTGGTTTGCATGGGCGGGAGTTCGACTTTGCATGCTGACATCACCATGCAGCAAATTGGTTAATAGACCAATAACAAAGAGAGTTCCAAACCTCTGCCAAAAACAGCTGGTTTTCCCCTCCACTCAGACCAGACAATCCTAGCAAAATTCTTGCTTAATAAATAGTTTTTAGCAAAATTATTTTGCCAATTTTAATGGAAATCTATTACAGTAAGATACTTAATTATTACCCAGAAATTATATTGATATAAAAACGGCTGCATTGGGACTTCAATACACACAGATTTTTCCACCTATACTGCACATTCCATTGTCTCATGCCCTATTGTACACTTCTTACATCTAGGAATCTCCCTCCTTCAAATTGCTACAACATGACCATAAGCTTGACACCTAAAACACCGTAACGGGTACGAGACAAGCTCTCACGGGATAACTGACACATCCTAACTTGACTTTGTCGGGTAAAGACTCTGCATCAAAACGCAGCAGGACAGACAGTGTCTTGTCTGTTTCACCATGCTCTCCACCGGGTCTGCGTCACACCAAACAGCGGGCGTCACAGACACCAGGAATATTCTATTTCAGTTGATCCTCCTCAACACTTAATGCCACCCCATTTCACACTTCTTTTTACGGTGCCCCGCTCTGGAGAGCAAAGCAGGTCTTGTCCCAAGAAGTTTGGTGCGGAGCACCCGCTCCCTCTGGGCGGAAGAAACACCAAAAAGTCCACTTTTAGTTACTTTCACTGATTCAACAGTCCCCAACCACTTCTCCACCCAACCTGACACCACATATGGATCAGCCAGAAGGCAAGGATCCATTCTCTCCAAAAATCTCACTCCCACAGGGTCAGAATCATCTTTGTCATCATCAGGGCGAGGCTCGAACTTGGCGCTCTTCTCTGCACATGCCACCACAGGTAATTCATCCTCACTCTCGTCAGGTTCAATTTCTGAGCTACCGGATTACGGTTTTTGCTTTTTGTACTTGACGACAATCAGAGAATGATGCGACGAAGCCACCTGCCCCGCTGTGGGTTTTGGTTCGAATGTTCCCATAACAAAACGGTTTCAAACAAACGCAGGAAGACCCCACCGGAAAGAGAGACTACTTGGTTCAATAACCTGCCAATGTCACAATCGTCGGGAAGAGAGGACCAATGCGCAGCGTGGAATGTGAACATACTTATTTATTGAACAAACAAAAACAACAAACGATACGAAACATGAAGTCCTTGGTTACAACACAAACCAGACGGAACAAGAAACCACACCAAATGAATGCCTAACGGCTACCTAAGTATGGCTCCCAATCAGAGATAACGAGCTACAGCCGTCTCTGATTGGGAGCCACCCTGGCCAACATAGAAATACAAAACTAGAGTATCACCCTAGCACACAAAACACAAAGAAACAACACACCCTGGCTCAACATAACAGAGTCCCAGAGCCAGGGCGTGACAGTATCCCCCCCCCCCCCCCCCCCAAAGGCGCGGACTGCGACCGCGCCAAACATAAACCGAACAGGGGAGGGCCTGGTGGGCATTCCTCCTCGGAGGTGGTTCCGGCTCCGGGCTTGACCCCCACCCTCCAACCAACCCCCCAAAGCGCCCCTGGTCCGGTCTGGCCCTGCTGGAGCGGCCTCCTCTACTAACCGCTCCATCGCGGCCTCCTGCTGCCCCGTCGTCCACGGCGTGAGCCCCCCCCCTAAACATTTTCTGGGTGTCTCTCCTCCCCGTGGACCAGGCCTCCATAGTTCTCGCCCAACTCTCGCTCTTCTGCTTCCAACTCCAGCCTCTCTCCTCCTCACATGGCTTGACCCAGTCGAGGTGGCACAGGAGATCCGCTAGAGATTCCCCTGGCGATGGCTCCTGGACACGCTGCTTGGTCCAGTTTTGGTGGTTTCTTCTGTCACGATCGTCGGGAAGAGAGGACCAATGCGCAGCATGGAATGTGAACATACTTATTTATTGAACGAACAAAAACAACAAACGATACGAAACGTGAAGTCCTTGGTTACAACACAAACCAGACGGAACAAGAAACCACACCAAATGAATGCCTAACGGCTACCTAAGTATGGCTCCCAATCAGAGATAACGAGCTACAGCCGTCTCTGATTGGGAGCCACCCTGGCCAACATAGAAATACAAAACTAGACTATCACCCTAGCACACAAAACACAAAGAAACAACACACCCTGGCTCAACATAACAGAGTCCCAGAGCCAGGGCATGACAGCCAATCACTTACACCTTCTTCTTCTTCTGTGGTATATTGGCGATCACACAGTTTAATGTGCATCCTGCCACCTACTATGCGGGATGGAAACAGGATTCCCCAAAAACTACCAAAACATTTATAAAATAAACTAAATCAAACAACTTTTCTGTTAAAAATAAATAAATAAAACAGATCTGATCCCTACACAGGCTCAAGGGGAACCTGGGAGGGTGGGTCTTCCGGCGCTAGTACCCCTTGCAAGTCTTCAGATGTAAAATCCTTGAGTCCCAAAAACTTTTCTGCCACAGCCACAATAATGTCCAGTTTCTTCGCCTTCTTTGAGACTTGCTCTGTACAGTTCATAACTGTGGCAATGAACGCAACAAAATCCAATTTTTTAAACACACAGGGTATCTTTTGTCTGGCAGCAAACATTTACTACAGGCTGTGGTGTATCGACTACCATATCTTCACTAGCATCACTCGTTTTCTCAATGCTTTAATCGCTTCCGCGTTGGAGATTTGATTGACCGCTCTAACTTTTGCCCCCTCAATTTCCTTCACCCTTACAGGGCACTCCAGGAACTCAGGATCATGATCCCCACCACAATTGCAACACCGTCGTCCTTCTACACATCGTTATTCAGTATACTCTGTTCGTCGCACACACTTGAAACATGGCCAAATCCTTTACAATTCTTACACTGAAGTGGTTTGGGGACGAAAGCTCTTACGCCGTATCTTACATAACCAAGCTTCATATGCGTAGATATTTGCTCTTTATCAAAAAAAAACAGGCCCGACAGACTTTATTTTTCTCCATTCACCCAGTGCGTCAGACGCCGGGCCCCAACCACAGCAGGAATTCTCTGAGATGACTCCTTTGACTGGTGCTCTACTCCGAAGTTCAAAACACAAAACTTGGGAGGGGGGAACCTCTTCATTCAGTACTCCCTGTAACATTATGGCTGTAAAGTCCTGGAGATCCAGAAATATATTTGCCGCCTTCACAATGATGTCTAACTTCTTAGATTTTTGTTTGTTTGACTAGTGCAATTTATCACTTGCTCTATAAATGCAATAAAGTATTCACTGTTAGTGTGTTGGGATCCTTCTCCTGCATGGCATTCACTGCAGACTGTGGGACATCCACTACCATCTCATCTCTACTCACTCCTTCAGTTATTTTCACTGCCTCAACATAGGAGACCTGCTGGATAGCCCTGATCCTAGCAACTGCGACCTCGTTCATACTTACAGGGCACTCCAGGAACTCGGGAACGTGATTCCCATCACAATTACAACAACATGCTTCATCTGACCCTTCAACTGCTAAATATGTATTCCTTCGACAAACACTTGCCACGTGTCCAAACTTTTTACAATTGTAACACTGCAGCAGCTTCTGTACATATGATAATTAGTCACTTCTTCTCAAGCCTTGCTGATGGTCTCCAAGCACCTGCTGGCGCCGGCTGCTGCCACCTAGGGGTGGGATGTATATAGTGGAAATGTAATGTTTGGCTGTGGCCTACAACACTTACCTATTCCTAAAACTGTACATAAACAACCTATAACACTGAAAATAACATGTCAGGACCCTCTTCATATGATGAGGCTGTATTGGTTGATGGGACTTCTATACTGGTCTCATCATACAGTATAACTGTACAGCTTTCATATGAATGCAATATGTGTACAAATGGTAGCACAGCGATTCATAGCTATAAAAATAAATTAATGGTTTAACATCTGGTTCATTCAACAACCCCAAACTGCAACAGAATCTATATTCTTACAGTAGCGATTTTGAAAAGGAGAATAATGATTTGGGAAAATGTGCTCAAGCAATCTAGTTTGGAAATTGCTGTCACCATTTTGTGGAAACAACTTATGCATTTTGAGGTACATAAATCTATTTTTTAAACAAAATATAGCATCCATAGTCATGTGGATGTGTCAAGTGTTAAGCTCTCTAACTGAGACTTTTGATTAATTAGCCTCCAGTTTGTAAAACCTTTAACATTTTAATCATTTAGCAGACGCTCTTATCCAGATTTACTTGTAGTAGTGAGTGCATACATTTTTATACATTTTTTTTCTTAAACAGACATTGATGTTAGTGGCAGCCATTGCCTTCAGGACCTGTGTTTGGATTGGAGCAGCTCTTTATTGAAGTCAGTGGGGAGTAAGTCAGTCCACTAATAATTAATTGACATCCAATCTGCCCACATTAGAAACAGTAGCATTAGTGAGGGAGATACAGGTGAGTCATGGCGCCATGGTAACTGCCTTAGGCCGACCGAGCCTTAGTCGGACCTCCTGCTTGGAGAGTGGGGTGTGTGTGTTTTTGTGTGTGTGTGTGTGGGGGGGGGGGTTTATGGGCAGGTGCCCTGTAGTGCCAGAAAGCCCAGAGCTACACAATTGAAACATGCATAAGGCATACCAACCACTAAAACCTGCAACGAACAAGTACCTGCAGAAGAAGTGGGACCAGACCAGCTATGAGGAGCATAGGAATAAGGTATGAGATAAGTGTGTGTCCGTTTGTTTGTGTGTTTGTAGACGAGTACACAAGTGAATACATGTGCGTGCATGTGCATATTTATTAAGGTGTTAATTATCAGCCTAGGCATTACTTACACACACCAAATTAATGACGTAAATCAACAATGGATTACATCATTAACTTCCATAACAACCTAACATTAACCTAACATCACCTCCAGGTGAGCACGGCCAGGCCCATTGTGGACACTAAGGGCATTAGAACACCTGCACATGTTCAGCTGAAACTCAAGAAACTCCAGGTCAGTGGACACACACACACACACACACACACACACACACACTCACACACTGGTTACAATGGGCTGATGATGTTGCCTTACAGTGGTGGTTGAAAAATCATTGTAATATATTTGTTTATAAAGTATATGGAAAAGCGCAATACACATACACTAAGTATACCAAACATTAGGAAAACCTTCATAATATTGAGTTGCAAACCCTGCCTTTTGCCCTCAGAACAGCCTCGATTCATTGGGGCATGGACTCTATAAGGTGTCGAAAGCGTTCCACAGGGATGCTGGCCTATGTTGACTCCAATGCTTCCCACAGTTGTGTCAAGTTGGCTGGATGCCCTTTAGGTGGTGGACCATTCTTGATACAGAAGGGAAAAACCCAGCAGCGTTGTAGTTCTTGACACAAACCGATGCGCCTGGAACCTACTACCATACCCCGTTCAAAGGCACTTAAATATTTCATCTTGCCCATTCACCCTCTGAATGGCACACATAAACAATCCATGCCTCAATTGTCTCAAGACTTTAAAATTCTTCTTTAACCTGTCTCCTCCCCTTCATCTACACTGATTGAAGTGGATATAACAAGTGACATAATAAGTGTTCGTATCTTTCACCTGGACTCACCTAGTCAGTCTATGTCATGGAAAGAGCATGTTTTGTATACTCAGTGTGTTATCACACCATTATTGTTACTATAGGTTAAAAAGTATTGCAGTAGAACGTTTAGTTTAATTGCAGATTGTATATGAAAGAAGTACAGTAGATAAAGTGAAAGTATGTATACAGACAAACATATATTTTCATCTATCATAGCCATACAAATGGCCATAGACAAGGGTATAAAATAATTGTAAAAACGCTACTGTAATTGTAAAACCGCTACATTACAACTACAATGTGTATGTGTCTAATGTAGGCATTCAATATCTGAACCATTATAATGTATGCATATATCAGTCATAAATGTCTATTGATAGCACAGTCATTACCAACAAGGTTAGAATGTCATAATATAGTGAAATATAACCTGGCACCTGAAGTGACATATGGTTAAATGTCAATATCTGACATATTTCGAATGAGATATGTCTGCCATTACAACGTCTATTTTTATCAATCAGTTACAAGATGAGAGGCTGGTCACAATCGAGAGAGACAACCGTCACCTGTCCTCCAAGCTGTCTGACATTGTGCGGTCCAAAGGTCTGGTCGACCACAGGAACCATTATCCCGAGAGAAGGTACGGGCTACTCACCTTTCACGGTTAAGTCACCTTTAAAAACCTCTCAGACACTGTGTCATGGTAATACTCTCCATAGGAAATGTAATACTCTTGTGTTGTACAGTGATATTATATAACGTCGAGTCCATTATTCATAGGATCAATGAGTATTTGACGACTAACTGTGGACATTCTTTGTCAAAAGAAAACATATGGTGGAATATGAAACGATTTTTAAGGCTTGTCCATCCATCAAATCCTCTTTGTAGATAATGCCTCACAGAATGGTGTACTGATACTCAGTTCTGCATTTATTTATTGAATTGTTTATTGGATTGGGAGTGTTGTAATTACAACACTGACACATACAGTGAGGGAAAAAAGTATTTGATCCCCTGCTGATTTTGTACGTTTGCCCACTGACAAAGAAATTATCAGTCTATAATTTTAATGGTAGGTTTATTTGAATAGTGAGAGACAGAATAACAACAACAAAATCCAGAAAAACGCATGTCAAAAATGTTATGAATTGATTTGCATTTTAATGAGGGAAATAAGTATTTGACCCCTCTGCAAAACATGACTTAGTACTTGGTGGCAAAACCCTTGTTGGCAATCACAGAGGTCAGACGTTTCTTGTAGTTGGCCACCAGGTTTGCACACATCTCAGGAGGGATTTTGTCCAACTCCTCTTTGCAGATCTTCTCCAAGTCATTAAGGTTTTGAGGCTGACGTTTGGCAACTTGAACCTTCAGCTCCCTCCACAGATTTTCTATGGGATTAAGGTCTGGAGACTGGCTAGGCCACTCCAGGACCTTAATGTGCTTCTTCTTGAGCCACTACTTTGTTGCCTTGGCTGTGTGTTTTTGGGTCATTGACATGCTGAGGGAAGGAGGTTCTCACCCAAGATTTGACGGTACATGGCCCCGTCCATCGTCCCTTTGATGCGGTGAAGTTGTCCTGTCCCCTTAGCAGAAAAACACCCCCAAAGCATAATGTTTCCACCTCCATGTTTGACGGTGGGGATGGTGTTCTTGGGGTCATAGGCAGCATTCCTCCTCCAAACACGGCGAGTTGAGTTGATGCCAAAGAGCTCCATTCTGACAACAATACTTTCACCCAGTTCTCCTCTGAATCATTCAGATGTTCATTGGCAAACTTCAGACGGGCATGTATATGTGCTTTCTTGAGCAGGGGGACCTTGCGGGCGCTGCAGGATTTCAGTCCTTCACGGCGTAGTGTGTTACCAATTGTTTTCTTGGTGACTATGGTCCCAGCTGCCTTAAGATCATTGACAAGATCCTCCCGTGTAGTTCTGGGCTGATTCCTCACCGTTCTCATGATCGTTGCAACTCCACGATGTGAGATCTTGCATGGAGCCCCGGGCCGAGGGAGATTGACAGTTATTTTGTGTTTCTTCCATTTGCTAATAATCACACCAACTGTTGTCACCTTCTCACCAAGCTGCTTGGTGATGGTCTTGTAGCCCATTCCAGCCATGTGTAGGTCTACAATCTTGTCCCTGACATCCTTGGAGAGCTCTTTGGTCTTGGCGATGGTGGAGAGTTTGGAATCTGATTGATTGATTGCTTCTGTGGACAGGTGTCTTTTATACAGATAACAAGCTGAGATTAGGAGCACTCCCTTTAAGAGTGTGCTGCTAATCTCAGCTCGTTACCTGTATAAAAGACACCTGGGAGCCAGAAATCTTTCTGATTGAGAGGGGGTCAAATACTTATTTCCCTCATTAAAATGCAAATCAATTTATAACATTTTTGACATGCGTTTTTCTGGATTTTGTTGTTGTTATTCTGTCTCTCACTGTTCAAATAAACCTACCATTAAAATTATAGACTGATAATTTCTTTGTCAGTGGTCAAACGTACAAAATCAGCAGGGGATCAAATACTTTTTTCCCTCACTGTATATTAAACAGTGAGATAAACATAAACTGCACCATAATATCACCATTAGGACTACTTTACACTGATTTACTGCACCATTCCCTAGATGGGTTTTTAAGATATTTTAAGGGCTTTTAAGATTCAAGAGATAAGTTAAAAGATCAGAGAGATATTTGTTTAAGTAACAAGCAAAAATTACCCCAGCCATTATCACATTGGTTGCTGTAGCTTCATTCACCTCAGTCGCTCTAAAAACACATAGCCTACTAGCTATACAATTAGCCGCTACATATTAACTCGCATTAACTCAGCACCGGGATTAAAAACTATAATTTATTACGTACAGAGGCATCTGTAAGCAGGAAAAGTATTTTATTAACAAAAGGCAGAGGTGGCACCACAGGTTCAAAAGTGGTCTGGCAAAATTTGTACGTGTCTTTTCTGGGGCCTGGAGTTTTTCCTATTGGACTAGTCTTCTAGGATTCTGGCACCCCAATCAAAATCCTATTATAACTTTTTTTCTTAATTGAACCCATTAAATTATAGTTTGTTGTCATTAGTTCCAGTACAATACAACAACATTAATTATAACATTTTCGTTGACCAGAACAGCAGTTCTATATTCATTTCTGTTTTATTCATCTGTAAGAAAGCCTGTCCCTGTAGCCTTTTCCTGCAGTCAAATGACCTAGTGGCCTCATGGGTGGAATGTTACTAATATTTTTCATTATTTCATAATTAATAAACATGATTCTTTTTTTAAATGAAAAAATCCAGTTTCTATGTCAAACAGTTTTGTTATATTTCAGTCTTCTGTGATGTATATAAAGTGTAATATTGAGATGCAAACTTAAAACTGAATACATTTCAACTCTATATCTGACATTGTACAGGTGTCTTCTTTTTTTAAGCCCATAACCATGTGTGTGAGGTGTATACTTTTGCGGCAAAGTAGATTTGTTTAAGAACACCAAGAAACACTGTATGACCCTGATTTAGCCCACTGTAGTCAAATGTTTTAAGACTGATGACATCACAGCTAGCACAAGCGTACAGTGTTAATTCACTCCCAAGTTTAGCTCTCAACCTTTGCAGAGAATCTCCAGTTTTCTAACATTATTATTCAAACTGTTTTATCATTCATTTACATTTACATTTTAGTCATTTAGCAGACGCTCTTATCCAGAGCGACTTATAGTTAGTGAGTGCATACATTTATCTCATACTGTCTCCCCGTGGGAATCGAACCCACAACCCTGGCGTTGCAAGCGCCATGCTCTACCAACTGAGCTACACTGTGTGTGAATGCAAAACTGTGAGTACAGTATTTGTTTCCTGACAAAGTCAATGTTTTAGTCATATTTTCGTCATTATATAGCATTTTGTGCACTCGATTTTATGCTGGCTAAGAGACTACTGTTAGACACATTTAGCCTGTCAGCTGACTATCTATCTAGCTAGCTAAGTTGTTGCCATTTCTATGTCATTTTTGAGTCACTGTATTGCTATAGCAGATGGGAAATGTTTATCTTGTTTGTTATTGCAGAATATATGTACCTTATTATAGGCGAGTCAAACCTGTTTTCATGATTTCTGGTAGATCATAAAAATAAGTCAATCACATCATGTTTTTAGACACATTAAGCAGTTTTTACCTAATTATGTAGAATACTATTGGAACTGGACGTTGAAAGTTCAATTTATATTCCTAAAACATTAGTTGAAAATGAACTGTAGTTGAAAATGAACTGTCACTGCTTCCTGTTGACAATAACTTTTGATAAATAGCCCAATGTCAAATCATTGTCCTGTTGAAAAACAAATGATAGTCCCACTAAGCCCAAACCAGATGGGATGGCGTATCACTGCAGAATGCTGTGGCAGCATGCTGGTTAAGTGTGTCTTGAATTCTAAATAAATCACAAACAGTGTCACCAGCAAAGCACCCCACAACATCACACCTCCTCCTCCATGCTTTATGGTGGGAACTACACATGCAATTTCTGAGGCTGGTAACTCTAATGAACTTATCCTCTGCAACAGAGGTAACTCTGGGTCTTCCTTTCCTGTGGCGGTCCTCATGAGAGCTAGTTTCATCATAGCGCTTAATGGTTTTTGCGACTGCACTGAAATTTTCCGTATTGACTGACCTTCATGTTTTAAAGTAATGATGGACTGTCATTTCTCTTTGCTTATTTGAGCTGTTCTGGCCATAATATGGACTTGGTCTTTTACCAAATAGGGCTATCTTCTGTATACCCCCCTACCTTGTCACAACACAACTGATTGGCTCAAACGCATTAAGTAGGAAAGAAATTCCACAAATTAACTTTTAAGAAGGCACACCTGTTAATTGAAATGCATTCCAGGTGACTACCTCATGAAGCTGGTTGACAGAATGCCAAGAGTGTGCAAAGCTGTCATCAAGGCAAAGGGTGGCTATTTGAAGAATCTCAAATATAAAATATATTTTGATTTGTTTAACACTTTTTTGGTTAATACATGATTCGATATGTGTTATTTCATAGTTTTGATGTCTTCACTATTATTCTACAATGTAGAAAATAGGAAAAATAAAGAAAACCCTTGAATGAGTAGGTTTGTCCAAACTCTTGACTGGTACTGTACGTGTTTGTGAGAGTCTCACCTTTCGACAGAGGGGTGTGTAGCCCAAACTGTTCGGACTCTACAGACAGAAGTTGGCAAATCGGCTGTACCAACTTTAGACGAGTCCCAAGATGCTTGTGGGGTCTTGACCAAATCCGTTTGGACGCTACAGACGATTTTGTGAGAAGACCGATTTTCGGGATGTCTCATGGTCTGACAAACACCGCTCTAGCTCTGTCACCTTTCACCGCAGATGCAGAAGTGTGACATCGGTGGATGCGGTGGATTGAGACACATCCAATGCAAAAGATATCTGTAGCTTAAACTGACAGATTTTTATGGGGATTTTTTTATTATGCTAATTCGATTTTTGTGGGGGTGCGGACAACGAATCTCGGCCCGCCATAGGAAATAAACACTGACAAGGTTTGGCTGTTATTTGAGTGGTAGTTGACTCTCAAATCCATGTATAGGTGTGAGGCCAGCAACTTTTATACAGAGACCGCTCCAAATTTTCCCTGCCATTTGAGTATGATGGTAGAAGTCCTAAGACCGCCAGTGGGTATGACAAAATCAATGGTACAAAACCAATGATATTGATCTGTTTTATGCAATCGATTTTGTGTCATTGTGATTACTATAAACGTTTATACTAACGTCACTAATCTGAGGTATAAAGGATGTGTAATTACCTGTCACGTCTACTCCTGCTCCTCTTCTCTGGCGTGCGACGTCGCCGGAATACTAACCACCGGACCTGGGATTCATCATTACGCGCATCTGCAGATCATTATGATTCACATCTGCAGATCATTATGATTCACATCTAGACTCCATTACCTCCCCTTTATCTGTCCCTCCCTTACGTTTATTCCTTAGTCGGTATTGTTCCTGTGTTCATGCTTTAACGCCACTGTTACACTGTCTCGTTTCATGTTTTCTTGTTTTTTTAAACATTTACATTACATTTTAGTCATTTAGCAGACGCTCTTATCCAGAGCGACTTACAGGAGCAATTAGGGTTAAGTGCCTTGCTCAAGGGCACATTTACGTCATTTAGCAGACGCTCTTATCCAGAGCGACTCACAAATTGGTGCATTCACCCTATAGCCAATGGGATAACCACTTTACAATTTTTTTGGGGGGGGTAGAAGGATTACTTTATCCTATCCCAGGTATTCCTTAAAGAGGTGGGGTTTCAAATGTCTCCGGAAGGTGGTGAGTGACTCCGCTGTCCTGGCGTCGTGAGGGAGCTTGTTCCACCATTGGGGTGCCAGAGCAGCGAACAGTTTTGACTGGGCTGAGCGGGAACTATGCTTCCGCAGAGGAAGGGGAGCCAGCAGGCCAGAGGTGGATGAACGCAATGCCCTCGTTTGGGTGTAGGGACTGATCAGAGCCCGAAGGTACAGAGGTGCCGTTCCCCTCACTGCTCCATAGGCAAGCACCATGGTCTTGTAACGGATGCGAGCTTCAACTGGAAGCCAGTGGAGTGTGCGGAGGAGGGGGGGTGACGTGAGAGAACTTGGGAAGGTTGAACACCAGACGGGCTGCGGCATTCTGGATGAGTTGTAGGGGTTTAATGGCACAGGCAGGGAGGCCAGCCAACAGCGAGTTGCAGTAATCCAGACGGGAGATGACAAGTGCCTGGATTAGGACCTGTGCCGCTTCCTGTGTAAGGCAGGGTCGTACTCTCCGAATGTTGTAGAGCATGAACCTGCAGGAGCGGGTCACCACCTTGATGTTAGCGGAGAACGACAGGGTGTTGTCCAGGGTCACGCCAAGGCTCTTCGCACTCTGGGAGGAGGACACAACGGAGTTGTCAACCGTGATGGCGAGATCATGGAACGGGCAGTCCTTCCCCGGGAGGAAGAGCAGCTCCGTCTTGCCAGGGTTCAGCTTGAGGTGGTGATCCGTCATCCATACTGATATGTCTGCCAGACATGCAGAGATGCGATTCGCCACCTGGTTATCAGAAGGGGGAAAGGAGAAGATTAGTTGTGTATCGTCAGCGTAGCAATGATAGGAGAGGCCATGTGAGGATATGACAGAGCCAAGTGACTTGGTGTATAGGGAGAAAAGGAGAGGGCCTAGAACTGAGCCCTGGGGGACACCAGTGGTGAGAGCACGTGGTGCGGAGACAGCTTCTCGCCACGCCACTTGGTAGGAGCGACCGGTCAGGTAGGACGCAATCCAGGAGTGAGCCGCGCCGGAGATGCCCAGCTCGGAGAGGGTGGAGAGGAGGATCTGATGGTTCACAGTATCAAAGGCAGCAGACAGGTCTAGAAGGACAAGAGCAGAGGAGAGAGAGTTAGCTTTAGCAGTGCGGAGAGCCTCCGTGACACAGAGAAGAGCAGTCTCAGTTGAATGACCAGTCCTGAAACCTGACTGGTTTGGATCAAGAAGGTCATTCTGAGAGAGATAGCAAGAGAGTTGGCTAAAGACGGCACGCTCAATAGTTTTGGAAAGAAAAGAAAGAAGGGATACTGGTCTGTAGTTGTTGACATCAGTGGGATCGAGTGTTGGTTTTTTGAGAAGGGGAGCAACTCTCGCTCTCTTGAAGACGGAAGGGACATGGCCAGCGGTCAAGGATGAGTTGATCAGCGAGGTGAGGTAGGGGAGAAGGTCACCGGAGATGGTCTGGAGAAGAGAGGAGGGGATGGGGTCAAGCGGGCAGGTTGTTGGGCGGCCTGCAGTCACAAGTCGCAGGATTTTATCTGGAGAGAGAGGGGAGAAAGAAGTCAAAGCATAGGGTAGGGCAGTGTGAGTAGGACCAGCAGTGTCATTAGACTTAACAAACGAGGATCGGATGTCGTCAACCTTCTTTTCAAAGTGGTTGACGAAGTCATCCACAGAGAGAGAGGAGGGGGGGGGGGGGGGAGGATTCAGCAGGGAGGAAAATGTGGCAAAGAGCTTCCTAGGGTTAGAGGCAGATGCTTGGAATTTAGAGTGGTAGAAAGTGGCCTTAGCAGCAGAAACAGATGAAGAAAATGTAGAGAGGAGGGAGTGAAAAGATGCCAGGTCGGCAGGGAGTTTAGTTTTCTTCCATTTCCGCTCAGCTGCCCGGAGCTCTGTTCTGTGAGCTCGCAATGAGTCATCAAGCCACGGAGCTGGAGGGGAGGACCGAGCCGGCCGGGAGGATAGGGGACACAGAGAGTCAAAGGATGCAGAAAGGGAGGAGAGGAGGGTTGAGGAGGCAGAATCAGGAGATTGGAGGGAGAAGGATTGAGCAGAGGGAAGAGATGATAGGATGGAAGAGGAGAGAGTAGTGGGAGAGAGAGAGCGAAGGTTGCGGTGGCGCATTACCATCTGTGTAGGGGCAGAGTGAGTAGTGTTGGAGGAGAGCGAGAGAGAAAAGGAAACAAAGTAGTGGTCGGAGACATGGAGGGGAGTTGCAGTGAGATTAGTAGAAGAGCAGCATCTAGTAAAGATGAGGTCAAGCGTATTGCCTGCCTTGTGAGTAGGGGGGGACGGTGAGAGGGTGAGGTCAAAAGAGGAGAGGAGTGGAAAGAAGGAGGCAGAGAGAAATGAGTCAAATGTGGACATAGGGAGGTTGAAATCCCCCAAAACTGTGAGGGGTGAGCCATCCTCAGGAAAGGAACTTATCAAGGCGTCAAGCTCATTGATGAACTCTCCAAGGGAACCTGGAGGGCGATAGATGACAAGGATATTAAGCTTAAATGGGCTAGTGACTGTGACAGCATGGAATTCAAATGAGGAGATAGACAGGTGGGTTAGGGGAAAAATTGAGAATGTCCACTTGGGAGAGATGAGGATTCCTGTGCCACCACCCCTCTGACCAGATGCTCTCGGGGTATGCGAGAACACATGGTCAGACGAGGAGAGAGCAGTAGGAGTAGCAGTGTTTTCAGTGGTAATCCATGTTTCCGTCAGCGCCAGGAAGTCGAGGGACTGGAGGTTAGCATAGGCTGGGATGAAGTCAGCTTTGTTGGCAGCAGAACGGCAGTTCCAGAGGCTGCCTGAGACCTGGAACTCCAGGTGTGGGGTGCGTGCAGGGACCACCAGGTTAGAGAGGCAGCAGCCACGCGGTGTGAGGCGTTTGTGTAGCCTGTGCAGAGAGGAGAGAACAGGGATAGGCAGAGGCATAATTGACAGGCTGTAGCAAATGGCTACAATAATGCAGAGGAGATCGGAATGAAATGAACTAAACATCTGGGAGAGGAGAGAGCAGGGCCTCCCTCACCAAAACTTCCACCTCAGAAACTATAATTGTTTCACTGAACCACCCGAACAAAAACTCTCCCAACTTCCACCTTTAGAAATCAGAATTGTTGTGAACCACAGCGGTTCAATGTTTAAAGGAATAGACTCAACCCACTTTATTCAGCTAGCTAACTATGACACCATAGCTAACTAGCATGCTAGCATCCAATAACACACAGTTTAGCACCAACACTTGGTCACAACAAACCACCAATAGTGTGTTAACACACTAAGCAGATAATTCGTGTCCGTGTCTAGTTCCTTTCATAACGCAGCAATAATTAAACGTTGGCTAGCTAGCACAAATATATTGTATTTAGCTGCCACAGTACAGCACACAATGGCTACTGTGTTGACTCTGTTCGAAAAACGGCTAGCTAGCTAGCTTCGTGCTACACCCGGCACCGCCGAAAACAATGCCAACCTACAGTAACTACCCACAACAGCCCACGATGCCTAACTATGACACCATAGCTAACTAGCATGCTAGCATCCAATAACACACAGTTTAGCACCAATACTTGGTTACAACAAACTACCAATAGTGTGTTAACACACTAAACAGATCATTCGTGTCCGTGTCTAGTTCCTTTCATAACGCAGCAATAATTAAACGTTGGCTAGCTAGCACAAGTATATTGTATTTAGCTACTACAGTACAGTTAGCTGGTCGTGTTGGCTAGCTAGCAATGGCTACTGTGTTGACTTTGTTTGAAGAACGGCTCGCTAGATAGCTTCGTGCTACACCCGGCACCGCCGAAAAACAATGCCAACCTACAGTAACTACCCACAACAGCCCACGATGCCTAACTATGACACCATAGCTAACTAGCATGCTAGCATCCAATAACACACAGTTTAGCACCAATACTTGGTTACAACAAACTACCAATAGTGTGTTAACACACTAAACAGATAATTCGTGTCCGTGTCTAGTTCCTTTCATAACGCAGCAAAAATTAAACGTTGGCTAGCTAGCACATTAACCTTGGAAACAACTCTCCACCGTTGCTAAACGTTACCAGTAGCTACCCGCTAGCTAGCTAGCCTCGTGCTTCGCCGGGCTCCGCCGTAAACAATACTTACCTACAATAATTACCTACGGAAACCTACAATAACTACCTAAATAACTACCTAAATAAACTACCTACAATACCTAACTACAACTACCTACCTACGATCTAAATACATGGTTTAAGCTTTACTCAACACCATATAAGAAGCCAAGCTTACCTCCTGCTAGAGAAAACACAACCTCTCCCGACCACAGCTCTTAAACGTTTCACCTGCACCTGCTTCTCGACTCAGTGTCATTGTTACAGAATACCGACTCAAACCATGGAAGCAACAGGACATTTGAATATCTCTCAGACGGTCGATGAACAGGGTTATCTTCTACATCAACAACATGACCAGCTGGCACAACTGGGATCGTCTATGGAGGAGGTTCTTCACAGTGTGTCACGTCTCGAACACACCCGGGAGGCGTTGCCTTCATCCAGTGCAGGATACTCTACAACCAGTCGACTCAGCACATCAGCCCATTCCGCAACCCGCTCAGGTCAGCGATGCCCATTCATCCCTCCCGGATAAATATGACAGTACACCATCCAAATGCCGTGGCTTCCTACTTCAGTGCTCCTTATATGTTACGCATCAGAGGGGAGTTCCCACCACCGAGAGGTCCAAGGTTTCCACAGTGATTTCTCTGCTGACTGGGCGGGCGTTGGAATGGGCTACGGCCGTCTGGGAGAGAGCAGAGGAGGAGCTTGATTCTTATGAAGGGTTCATAGCTCTGTTTAAAAGTAGCAGCATCCAGTGGATGGAATGAGCCGGCGCTTCGTACGCTATTTAGAAGAGGTTTGTGTGAAGAGGTCCAGACGGAACTGGCCTGTCGAGACGACAACCTCACCTTGGACGCATTCATTGCGATGGCCATCAGTCTGGATAACCTACCTTGGGAGCGCCGGTACTCTCATCGCTTCTCTCCATCCCTCAGTGAACACTCAGGATCAGAGTCTGAACCCATGGAGGTAGGGGTCACTTGTCTCCCTGCATTGACTACAGAGGTCTCAATGAAATCACCACAAAGTATCTTTACCCTCTCCCATTGGTGCCGTCAGCCATCGAGCAGCTCCGCGGGGCCCAGTTCTTTACCAAACTGGACCTGTGGAGTGCATACAATCTCATCCGCATCTGGGAGGGGGATGAGTGGAAGACGGCATTTAGCACGATGTCTGGTCACTAAGAGTACTTGGTAATGTCATATGGCTTAGCCAATGCTCCGTCTGTATTCCAGGCATTCGTTAACGAGGTGTTCAGAGACATGCTCCGCCGCCAGGTGGTCATGTACAGTGGGGAAAAAAAGTATTTAGTCAGCCACCAATTATGCAAGTTCTCCCACTTAAAAAGATGAGAGAGGCCTGTAATTTTCATCATAGGTACACGTCAACTATGACAGACAAAATGAGAAAAAAAAATCCAGAAAATCACATTGTAGGATTTTTAATGAATTTATTTGCAATTTATGGTGAAAAATAAGTATTTGGTCAATAACAAAAGTTTCTCAATACTTTGTTATATACCCTTTGTTGGCAATGACACAGGTCAAACGTTTTCTGTAAGTCTTCACAAGGTTTTCACACACTGTTGCTGGAATTTTGGCCCATTCCTCCATGCAGGTCTCCTCTAGAGCAGTGATGTTTTGGGGCTGTCGCTGGGCAACACAGACTTTCAACTCCCTCCAAAGATTTTCTATGGGGTTGAGATCTGGAGACTGGCTAGGCCACTCCAGGACCTTGAAATGCTTCTTACGAAGCCACTCCTTCGTTGCCCGGGCGGTGTGTTTGGGATCATTGTCATGCTGAAAGACCCAGCCACGTTTCATCTTCAATGCCCTTGCTGATGGAAGGAGGTTTTCACTCAAAATCTCACGATACATGGCCCCATTCATTCTTTCCTTTACACGGATCAGTCGTCCTGGTCCCTTTGCAGAAAAACAGCCCCAAAGCATGATGTTTCCACCCCCATGCTTCACAGTAGGTATGGTGTTCTTTGGATGCAACTCAGCATTCTTTGTCTTCCAAACACGACGAGTTGAGTTTTTACCAAAAAGTTATATTTTGGTTTCATCTGACCATATGACATTCTCCCAATCCTCTTCTGGATCATCCAAATGCACTCTAGCAAACTTCAGATGGGCCTGGACATGTACTGGCTTAAGCAAGGGGACACGTCTGGCACTGCAGGATTTGAGTCCCTGGCGGCGTAGTGTGTTACTGATGGTAGGCTTTGTTACTTTGGTCCCAGCTCTCTGCAGGTCATTCACTAGGTCCCCCCCGTGTGGTTCTGGGATTTTTGCTCACCGTTCTTGTGATCATTTTGACCCCACGGGGTGAGATCTTGCGTGGAGCCCCAGATCGAGGGAGATTATCAGTGGTCTTGTATGTCTTCCATTTCCTAATAATTGCTCCCACAGTTGATTTCTTCAAACCAAGCTGCTTACATATTGCAGATTCAGTCTTCCCAGCCTGGTGCAGGTCTACAATTTTGTTTCTGGTGTCCTTTGACAGCTCTTTGGTCTTGGCCATAGTGGAGTTTGGAGTGTGACTGTTTGAGGTTGTGGACAGGTGTCTTTTATACTGATAACAAGTTCAAACAGGTGCCATTAATACAGGTAACGAATGGAGGACAGAGGAGCCTCTTAAAGAAGAAGTTACAGGTCTGTGAGAGCCAGAAATCTTGCTTGTTTGTAGGTGACCAAATACTTATTTTCCACCATAATTTGCAAATAAATTCATAAAAAATCCTACAATGTGATTTTCTGGAAAAAAAATTCTCAATTTGTCTGTCATAGTTGACGTGTACCTATGATGAAAATTACAGGCCTCTCTCATCTTTTTAAGTGGGAGAACTTGCACAATTGGTGGCTGACTAAATACTTTTTTTCCCCACTGTATATCGATGACATCCTGATCTACTTGGCTACCCTGGAGGATCACATTGTTCACGTTCGAACAGTCCTGAAACGCCTCCTCGCCAACCACCTGTTCGTCAAGGCTGAGAAGTGCCAATTTCACCAGAGGACGGTCTCCTTCATAGGCTACCAAATCATCCCGCAGGGTGTGAGGATGGATGACAGGAAGGTAGATGCAGTCAGATCATGGCCAGTTCCTACCACCATAAAGGGGTTACAACGGTTTTTGGGGTTTGCCAACTGCTACCGCTGCTTCATCAGGAACTTCAGCTCTGCCGCCGCTCCTCTCACCTCTCTCCTTAAGGGAAGGCCCCGTAGGTTGGTGTGGAGCCCAGCAGCCGACGAGACCCAGATCCCACAACATCCTTTGTGGTTAGAGGTGGACACTTCAGAGGTAGGCGTGGGGGCAGTTCTGTCTCAATGACAGGGTAACCCACAGAAGTTGTACATGTGTGCGTTTTATTCTAAGAAACTGTCCCCTGCAGAGAGGAATTACGACATCGGTGATCGTGAGCTCCTGGCGGTAGAGTAGTGGTAGTGGACTCACAGCTTCATTGTTACATTACCCTCAATTCGATGTGGTCAAAATGTGAGGTTATGTAATGTAGTAATACATACTGTCCACGTACGGGGAATTAGCGTAATATAATATGTACAAATAAATCAACATTTCAGTTTTGGCTGATAGTGTTCACATATTTCTCACTAGCTTAACCATTTACAGAGTTAACAAAAAGCTTTAATGCACAATTTAAGCGGGTGCTCTAGAAAGAGCTCCCATAGTGACTGTGCAGCAGACCGTTCATTCGCCCTACCTACTTTTTATAACCTGTCAAGCCATAGTATTGATATTATTCAATTAATTGTTATTTCAGACCACAGTGTATGGACTGATTAAAGACCAGTAAACTAAGGAACAGCCTCTCTCCCGTGTCTCCGGAGCACAATCTCCATATCCTTTGCCTACTCACACCAGTGATAATTTCCTGAGGTTCTCAACCTCTTCAACACACCACCACAATATGGGAGTGATTCAAGGATGCAAGTTCATTTGCAGTATGACCAATAGAAAAATACTATCAGATTTTGGAACCAGTCCTATTGGACTCCTATGGGATTCTATCCTATAGTATTGAATCTTATAGGATCTTATGGAATTCCAATACAAGAATCCAATAGAAAAATCCTATCAGATTTTGGAACCAGTCCTATTGGACTCCTATGGGATTCTATTCTATAGGATTTTAACTTATAGGATCCTAATACAAGAATCCAATAGAAAAATCCTATCAGATTTTGGAACCAGTCTTATTGGACTCCTATAGTCCTTGTTAGAGCCGATTTGGGCATATTTTGTATAAAAGACTGAACATACTGAGCTCCATGTACATTTGTGTAAATATATTAAATATTAATGTATATGATGAAATATTAGGTACGTACCTTTATGATTTATTTACCGGATTGAGATATATTCATTTGTTATTAGTGTAACTCAGTTTTTGGCCCCCCCTCTTGCCCATTCATTGTACTGTGTTAATTGTGTTAGTATAAAGGCAGGAAGTTGGGCCTTCGGGTGGGGGAGTCCTTGCTAGATGCGGGAGCGGTATAGTTTTTTGACCATATAGACATACAGAAATACAGACAGACAGGTCATATTATATTATGTATTTGCATTTCAAGTAATCTCTGCTTTAAGTTGATTGGAGAATACCCTTTTGTTAGATAAGAAGAATAAACATTTTTTGTTGCACTATATCCCTGGATCTCATTGAATGTTTGGCCGTTTGGAAACGTTGAGTGTGGACTGTATGCGTCCGAAACAACCCCGCTTCAGGCTAGGGCAGTGGCTATGGTAAAGAGGAAAGGAAGCCACTACATTCAAGTCAAAAAACTCCGTGAAGGATTACTACCGGAAGGAAATCTCCGGTTCGGACACACGCTGGATTTTGTTCTATTTGTAATTGCATTCGGACCATAAGGACAGCTCGCTTGGAAGGATTTGAACTCCTAGATTTCGCCAGCCGTGAGTAACCACTGCGAATGAATGAGCTGCCCTGTTCAAGGCGATCGTTTGATCATGCATATTATGGAAGCGCAAATGTGCTTATAATTGGAATGTTTGATAAACTTGGGAATGGAATTCAAAATACAGCGCTGTGAAAACAATTAAGAAGTTTAAGTTTGGGAAACACAGATCCTATGCACAATGTAGCCTAATCATATATCTAATATTTGGCCTAACGTGGAAATGCAATCCATCAACGCAACGAATGCAACTTAAGGATCTAAAGATACTGCGTGTTAAAACTTCATTAAAGGGACAAAACCTCAACGGGATGAAATGTTTAAAACGCATCTAAAATGCCAAACTTGCACATGTGCAATTCAAAATGGGTCAATATGCTGAAATGGATGACTGTGTTTTTAAAGATTAAAGGAGGTCTAAAGGGGCATTACGTTTAACAATCAAACCAACAACCGTGTCATTGTAAATTGAGTGAACTAAAAGTGAATGATGGAGGAGGAAATCCCAAATAAGACTCCACTGGAGAGGGCAGAGGAGCATCTAAATTCACTCTATGTAGCCCGGAGAGGCAAACTTGGAGTGTGTACACGCAAAATGAATGAAATAAAAGTCCTTCTTGTTGATGGAGGAAACATTGCAACTGTGAATGAGAGTCTTGAAGCATTTGATGCTGTGCTCAATGACTTTAAGAAGGCTCATGAATCTGTGCTAGAGCTGGTCACAGAGGAGGAACAGGAACAGGAGAGCATTAACTATTATCAACCAAGAATGAGAACTTATGAACATTTCCTGAAAGAGGTGGAAATATGGAAAAAGGCTGAAGTTGAGCCACAAACGCTCATTGAACCACATGACAGCATTTCCAATGTGTCAAAAATATCAAGTAAAACTAAGTATTCTAAGACTGCTTCCTCAGTGTCCTCTGAACGCCTTAAAGCCGAGGCAGAACGAGCAGCTCTACTAGCTCGCCAAGCATCATTACAAGACAAGCATGCATTGGAACTGGAGAAAGCTCAACTGAATGTTAGGATGGAAAAAATGGCACTGGAAACGGACATAGCAGCATATAATGCCAAACTGAAGGTCCTGGAGAGTACCGAGTCAACTTCTCAATCCCATTCTGTGGCAGCCCATTTACTAAGCCAAGAAGATGGAATGAACTCTTATTTTGAGAAACAGGAACCAGAGGTCTATGTGGAACCTGAACCATCACCTGTTGAGTTTGCTGCATTAGGTGCAGTTCCAAAGACCCCACTACAAAGAGTTTTACAACAACCGACCACAAAGCCATCAAACCCTATTCCGAAAACAGTCGTAAACCACACTCTTCAGCAGCCAACAGCAAGGTCTAGCAATCGACACAGAATCAACACTGCGGGTATCAGCCATAATACCAGCCATGATAACCTCTCTACTGTCATGCAAAGGCAGAATGAAATTGCTGACCTCCTTGTACTACAGCACAAACAAGCCACACTCCCTGTTAGGGAGATACCTATGTTTGACGGTGATCCTCTAAACTTTAGGCCATTCATGCGTGCATTTGAGCATGGTATAGAAGATAAGACAAGCAGTCACCAGGATAGGCTCTATTACCTGGAACAATACACCTCTGGTCAGCCCAAGGATCTGGTCCGTAGTTGTCTGCATATGGAAGCCAGAAGAGGCTATGCAGTAGCTAAGAGGTTGTTAAAGGAACACTTTGGCAATGAAATCAAAGTCACCACTGCTTACATGGAAAAGGCTTGGAACTGGACAAACATCAAACCCGATGATGGAAAGGGACTGGGTGGTTATGCACTCTATCTAAGAGGTTGCTGTAACGCTATGCAAGACCTACAGAACATGGAAGAGCTTAATCTTCCCTCCAACATAAAGCTGATCATGTCAAAACTTCCCTACAAACTAAGGGAAAAATTGAGGTCTATGGCATGTCATATTTTAGAGAGAAGTCACCTGAGGGCCCAGTTCAGTGACCTGGTAACGTTCATGGAAAAACAGGCCAAAATACTGCAGGATCCGTTGTATGGAGATATTCAAGATCCCCTGTACAACAAAAGGTTTTTAAAACCCAAAACAGAAGCGGACTTTAAACAGCAGTTCAAGTCCAAGAGTAGGGGAAGCAGCTTTGCCACTACAGTAGCTGTAGTGGCATATTGTGACTCTGAAAAACCTTTAAAAGAACAAACATTCAAAGTAAAGAGACCAGGCACCTACCCTTCTGATGCTCCCAGTATCTCATGTATATTTTGTGCTGGTGCGCATTTATTGGTCGACTGCCAACAGGTGAAGGCACAGCCACATGAATTCAAGGTTGAGTTTCTGAGATCAAAAGGCCTTTGTTTTGGCTGTTTGATGAGAGGACACTTAAGCAGAGAATGTAAAAGAAGGATGACCTGTCAGAGCTGTCAAAGAAAGCACCCCACTATCCTGCACATTGAAGGAAGAGAGAGATTTAGATCTCAAAAGGCAGATATGAGTGGTGTAGCAGTAAAGCGGGAGGAGACTGTCAGCAGTGCTCTTGTTTCACTGGAAGCTGGTGAAGATACCGGGGCCGGTACAGATTGTGCACTTGCAATTGTGCCAGTTCAAGTAAAGGTGGCAAATGGAAGCAAGTCTGTGTTAACCTATGCGTTTCTCGATTCTGGTAGCTCAGCAACATTTTGTACGGAGAGACTCATGAGGCAGTTGCAAGCTAAAGGCAGTGCGACTGAAATTCTGCTACGCACAATGGGGCAGGAGAGTCCTACCAAGAGCTTTGAGATATCTGGATTAGAGATTGGCAATGTGGAAGGCGACACATTTCTTGCATTACCAAAGGTCTACACCCAACATAAGATCCCAGTGACAAGAGAGAACATTCCCACTCAGAAAGAGCTCAAAAGGTGGCCATACCTGAAAGAGGTTCAGTTGAAGGAGATTGATGCTGACGTCGAACTTCTGATTGGCGTAAATGCTCCAAAGGCAATGGAACCCTGGCAAATCATAAATAGCCAAGGCAACGGACCGTATGCAGTGAAAACCCTCTTTGGATGGGTGATGAATGGTCCTCTCAACAGTTGTACCATGGCAGAAGAATCCGGGCGTCCTACGGTGATGGCCAATCGTATCTCAATGGCCGACCTGGGGGTTCTTCTTGTAAATCAGTACAACCATGACTTCCCTGAGAGAGAGTATGAAGAGAAAAGTGAGATGTCAGCTGAGGATCGTAGGTTTATGGAGATAGTATCAAGCTCCATAACCCTCAAAGACCATCACTACTACTTACCGTTGCCCTTTCGCAACAAAGATGTAGTCCTGCCAAACAACCGTGACATGGCAAAGCAGTGGGCTCTAAATATTATCAGGAAGTTCAAGAAGGACAAAGGTTACGCTGCAGAGTACAAAGGCTTCATGGAAGAGATGATAACAAAAGGTTACGCCGAGAAGGTACCACAAGAACAGCTCCTCAGAGAGAAAGGCAAGGTATGGTACATACCACACCATGGCGTTCACCATAAGCGCAAAGGAACGATACGAGTGGTGTTTGACTGTTCATCATCCTATAAAGGTACATCTCTTAACAGTGAACTCCTTCAAGGCCCTGACCTGGCAAACACGCTTATAGGAGTCTTGCTAAGATTTCGGCAAGAGCACATTGCCATGATGGCAGACATCGAAGGAATGTTCCATCAAGTACGTGTCCATGAAGATGACTTAGACTTCCTGCGATTCCTATGGTGGCCAGATGGTGATACTAACAAAAGATTGGAGGAGTACAGAATGACAGTACATCTTTTCGGTGCTATATCCTCTCCAAGTTGTGCAAACTTTGCACTGCGAAAGACTGCAGAAGACAACTGTGAGGGGTACGATGAAGAGGTGATTCAAACAGTCAAGTCCAACTTCTATGTTGATGACTGCCTCAAATCAGTGGCCACAGAAGAACAAGCCATAGCTCTCACAAGAAACCTCAGGGATGTGTGCTCTCAAGGTGGGTTCAAATTGACCAAGTGGGTCAGCAACAGCCGCACTGTACTAGCTTCTATCCCTGATGAACACAAAGCCAAGCAGATAAAAGAACTGGACCTGGACAGAGAAAAGCTGCCTGTTGAAAGAGCACTTGGAATCCGATGGAACATTGAAAGGGATGTGTTTACCTTCCAGGTCACTGTCAAGAACAGACCCCTTACAAGAAGAGGTATTCTCTCAACTGTCAGCTCTATTTATGATCCATTAGGTTTCCTCGCCCCATTCGTATTAAAGGCAAAGCAAATTCTTCAAGTGCTCTGCAAGCTAAAGTGTGGATGGGACGAAGTCATCCCTGAAGAACACTCTATTTCATGGAAGAGATGGCTCTCAGAGCTGGACCAGCTCTCCAGATTCCAGATCAACAGGTGTATGATGCCGGAGAACTTTGGTCAAATCAAGACCGCACAGCTGCATCACTTCGGTGATGCAAGTGAACAAGGTTATGGCACGGCAAGCTACCTTAGGTTCACAAACGTTATGGAAAAGGTCCACATCGCATTCATACTGGGGAAATCAAGGGTGACTCCACTCAAGCAGATGACGATCCCCAGACTGGAACTTGCTGCAGCAACATTGGCAGTGCGAGTGGACAGGATGTTAAGGTTGGAGCTCCAGATTGAACTTGAGGAGTCAACTTTCTGGACAGACAGCCAGTCGGTGCTAAAATACATCCGCAACGATATCAAGAGATTCCATACTTTTGTGGCTAATAGGGTTGCTATGATCCGTGACCTATCGAAAGCAAAACAGTGGAGGTATTTGAACTCCAAACACAACCCAGCCGATGATGCCTCAAGAGGATTACATGTTGAAACTTTCCTGAACTCAAAGAGATGGCGCAAAGGACCAGAATTCCTGGAGAAAACAGAAACACAATGGCCGAAAGTCCCCGAGGAGCTTGGCTCCATCCCTCCAGATGATCCAGAGGTGAGAAAAGACGTCATCGTAAACAGTACATGTGTGGAAGAAAAGAGTCCGACCAGCAAACTGATTGAGTACTATTCAACATGGAACAGCTTGAAGAAAGCAGTTGCCTGGATGCTGAAACTGAAGAGACTTCTACTACAGTTAAGCCAGAAAAGGAAAGTTCTCACCCAAACTGATCCAGGATCAGATCAGAGTCTGACAAACTCACTGAAGGAACAAATTGACAAGTTCAAACTGACGTTTGGAAAAGAAAGTCTGTCTGTAGATGACCTAGATGAAGCAGAAAAGGTCATCATTCGATTTGAGCAACGACAGCACTTTAAACAAGAAATTGCACTAGTTGTAAAAGGAAAACAATGTGCCAAGAGAAGCGGCTCAATCTGTAAGCTTGATCCAATAGTTGACAATGGCATTCTGAGAGTAGGCGGAAGGTTAAGCAAAGCTGCTATGCCTACGGAACTAAAGAATCCTATGATCCTGCCCAAAGACTCCTACATCTCCAGACTGATCTTACTCCACATCCATGAGCAGGTTGGCCACTCTGGGAGAGGTCACATGCTTTCTAGACTTCGCCAGCGATATTGGATACCCTGTGCCAACTCCTTAGCAAGGAAGATCCTTAAGAGCTGTGTCTTCTGCAGGCGGATGCAAGCTAGAGCTGGGGAACAGAAGATGGCTGACCTTCCACAAGATCGGGTAGCACCTGATTTGCCGCCTTTCACCCATGTGGGCATAGATTACTTTGGCCCCATAGAGGTGAAGCGAGGCCGTGTTCATGTGAAGCGGTATGGTGTGATCTTTACTTGCCTTGTGAGTCGAGCTGTCCATCTAGAAGTTGCTAGTTATCTGGATACTGATTCCTGCATCAATGCCCTGCGCAGGTTCATCTGTCGAAGGGGCCCAGTAACAAGTATCAGAACAGACAATGGCACCAACTTTGTTGGAACACACAGAGAGCTAGGAGAAGCTCTGAAAGAGCTGGATCACAACAAGATTCAAAATAAATTACTGAAGGAAGGAGTGACATGGTCATTCAACCCTCCCTCTGGAGCCCACCATGGGGGGGTATGGGAGAGGTTGATCCGACTGGTGAAAAAGATCCTCTATTCAGTCCTTAAAGAGCAAGTACTGGATGATGAGGCTTTGCAGACAGCCTTGTGTGAAGTTGAGGCGATTATGAACGACAGACCAATCACTACTGTAACAAATGACCCTAACGATCTAGAACCCCTGACTCCGAACCATCTGCTTCATCTGAAAGCAAAGCCAGTCCTGCCACCAGGACTATTCCAGAGAAGTGACCTATACTCACGAAGGAGATGGAAGCAAGTACAATATATCACTGACCTCTTCTGGAAGAGATGGATCAGGGAGTATCTTCCACTTATGCAGGAGCGGAACAAGTGGAACAAAACTAAGAGAAACTTCAGTCCTGGTGACCTTGTGGTCATCGTCGATGACACCGCCCCAAGGAACTCTTGGCTAATGGGGCGTGTGGTGAAGGCTTTGCCAGGGGCCAAAGGTCTTGTCCGGAGCGTCATGGTTAAGACTAAGACCAATATCCTACAGAGACCTATCAATAAACTCTGTCTGCTCCTTGAGGCGACGAAGTGAGACACACACACACACACACACAGTGCTCCATCTTTGAATCACGTGCACCTCTGATTCGTTGATGTCGTACTCTTACATTCTTTGATGTCATACATTTTGTGGACGTCAAACTCTTGACATTTTTTGGAAGTTGAACACCTTTACACTTCAACTCAGACTGAGATCTATGGACTATTTTCCTATATGGCACCTTGTATATTTGTATATAGCTATGAACTGTAATGGTGCTCTGGTATAGAATGTTTTTGTATTGGCTCTACGTTTGAATATTAAGTAATTGTTGTGCATTCAGTGCAGTCAACAATTAGGGGCCGGTATGTTAGAGCCGATTTGGGCATATTTTGTATAAAAGACTGAACATACTGAGCTCCATGTACATTTGTGTAAATATATTAAATATTAATGTATATGATGAAATATTAGGTACGTACCTTTATGATTTATTTACCGGATTGAGATATATTCATTTGTTATTAGTGTAACTCAGTTTTTGGCCCCCCCTCTTGCCCATTCATTGTACTGTGTTAATTGTGTTAGTATAAAGGCAGGAAGTTGGGCCTTCGGGTGGGGGAGTCCTTGCTAGATGCGGGAGCGGTATAGTTTTTTGACCATATAGACATACAGAAATACAGACAGACAGGTCATATTATATTATGTATTTGCATTTCAAGTAATCTCTGCTTTAAGTTGATTGGAGAATACCCTTTTGTTAGATAAGAAGAATAAACATTTTTTGTTGCACTATATCCCTGGATCTCATTGAATGTTTGGCCGTTTGGAAACGTTGAGTGTGGACTGTATGCGTCCGAAACAACCCCGCTTCAGGCTAGGGCAGTGGCTATGGTAAAGAGGAAAGGAAGCCACTACAGTCCTACTAAAGCAGGTAGCTAGCTAAAGGCATGGTATGCAGCTGCAGATCTGTTTTCAGATATGTAACGTTACAATTAAATAGACGTGATCATTTAAAAAAGAAATTCCCGAAAAGTGTACAGCAAATTCTACTAGATGAAAAACCGAAATGAGTATAACATCCTGGTATTTAAAGCGTACTCGATTTCCGAAAATTATTTTTGCCACCGCACTCTCCTGTTGCCTCATCAAATCATTAATATAACCAATCTTGACATGGCCCCTTGTTGAATTATTGAGCTGCAGATGGAGCTGTCTGCGAACAGTACCTGGTATTGGCCTGGCAGACTCCCTTGGATAGTCATGCTTCCTGCTAGACACTTCCTATGAATACCCTTTTCATAATGCATTACAAGCGCATTCATAATGCGTTATGATCTATGCATAATGCTCTATAATGCATGCCATAAGTACTAATCGCTGCCCATAAACATCTATAACTATAAAAGCATTACAAGCAGGCAGCATAATGCTTTTTGAAGCAAAGTGTTATAACAAGTAAGCCTTGTCCGAGCCAGAACGGGCCATAAGCCTATCTTCTGTTTCTGTAGCGTGAGGCAGCTTGCTGTACAAATACACCCCAGGGACGCTAGTCAATCCATCTCCTTAATGCTGAGTGCCAAGCAGAGGCATCAGGTCCAATTTTAGAGTCTTTGGTATGACTCGGCCAGGGATCGAACCCACAACCTTCCCCAATTTCACGGCGGACAGTCTAACCACTAGGCCACTGAGCTGGTAAACAAAGTAAACAGTATAGTGGGTTAATTTCCGCAACAACTAAGAGCATTGACGCAAGACTAAACTTCTCCACTGTTTTGGTCCCGTTGCTACCACACTGTAACAGCGTGAAGCGATTCCGTGCACATATGCAGATATGCTGTGTGACTGTGTGAGAGCGAAGTCTTGCATCTCGCTCATCACAATATCTGTGGTACTGCTCATGGTAACGCCATTCTACTGAGTATACCTTTAAAAGTGTTACAATGCCCTATACAAAATGCTCAATAGGAAATTCTGTCAAGGATGAGTGCACTACTTCCTGTGCCATAAAGGTCCAGACCCTTTGGCTAAAGGCATAGTACCTTGGATGATGGTAGTTTACACTGAGCATACATAGTGATGCGTGGAAGACAGAACTAAACATTCTGGGTCTCTCTCTCGGTCCTGTAGTCTGAACGCTGAGAAGAGGAGGCATGAGCTGCTGCAGGTGACTAGTCAGAACCAGGCCATCTACCAGCGAATCACGGCCCGTGAATCTGACTACCGTCGCCAGCTCTGGTTGGACGACTGGGAGAGGGTGGAGCGCAGACGTGATGACATCGCTCGTTACCCTCGTGGAGTCGCCAACAAACAGGTGCGATCAATGTGATACAAGTCCTTTATAGGAACATTGTTTTCCTCTCTGAGATAGGCGAGAAACCGGAAGCAGAATTTTCATGCATTAATTGATTCAGGCAAAACTGACTTGACCTGAATTCCTGTTTGTAAAACTGAGGTGCGTTCAGTTCGCTTGAACGTTTGCTATGTTGCAGATCATTTTGTACTGAACTACACGTTTCCCCAAAACTTTCTTGAACAGACTTTGACCTACAGTTGAAGTCGGAAGTTTACATACACTTAAGTTGGAGTCATTAAAACTCGTTTTTCAACCACTCCACAAATTTCTTGTTAACAAACTATAGTTTTGGCAAGTCAGTTAGGACATCTACTTTGTGCATGACACAATACATTTTTCCAACAATTGCTTACAGACAGATTATTTCACTTATAATTCACTGTATCACAATTCCAGTGGGTCAGAAGTTTACATACACTAAGTTGACTGTGCCTTTCAACAGCTTGGAAAATTCCAGAAAATGATGTCATGGCTTTAGAAGCTTCTGATAGGCTAATTTACATAATTTGAGTCAATTGGAGGTGTACCTGTGGATGTATTTCAAGGCCTACCTTCAAACTCAGTGCCTCTTTGCTTGACATCATGGGAAAATCAAAAGAAATCAGCCAAGACCTCAGAAAAAAAGTTGTAGACCTCCACAAGTCTGGTCCATCCTTGGGAGCAATTTCCAAACACCTGAAGGTAGCATGGTCATCTGTACAAACAATAGTACGCAAGTATAAACACCATGGGACCACGCAGCCATCATACCGCTCACGAAGAAGACGCGTTCTGTCTCCTAGAGATGAACGTACTTTGGTGCGAAAAGTGCAAATCAATCCCAGAACAACAGCAAAGGACCTTGTGAAGATGCTGGAGGAAACAGGTACAAAAGTGTCTATATCCACAGTAAAACGAGTCCTATATTGACATAACCTGAAAGGCCGCTCAGCAAGGAAGATGCCACTGCTCCAGAACCGCCATAAAAAAGCCAAACTACGGATTGCAACTGCACATGGGGACAAAGATTGTACTTTTTTGAGAAATGTCCTCTGGTCTGATGAAACAAAAATAGAACTGTTTGGCCATAATGACCATTGTTATGTTTGGAGGAAAAAGGGGGTTGCTTGCAAGCCGAAGAACACCATCCCAACCGTGAAGCATGGGGGTGGCAGCATCATGCTGTGGGGGTGCTTTGCTGCATGAGGGACTGGTGCACTTCACAAAATAGATGGCATCATGAGGAAGGAAAATTATGTGGATATATTGAAGCAACATCTCAAGACCAGTCAGGAAGTTAAAGCTTGGTCGCAAATGGGTCTTCCAAATGGACAATGACCCCAAGCATACTTCCAAAGTTGTGGCAAAATGGCTTAAGGACAACAAAGTCAAGGTATTGGAGTGGCCATCACAAAGCCCTGACCTCAATCCTATAGAAAATGTGTGGGCAGAACTGAAAAAGCGTGTGCGAGCAACAAACATGACTCAGTTACACCAGCTCTGTCAGGAGGAATGGGCCAAAATTCCACCAACTTATTGTGGGAAGCTTGTGGAAGGCTACCCGAAATGTTTGACCCAAGTTAAACAATTGAAAGGCAATGCTACCAAATACTAATTGAGTGTATGTAAACTTCTGACCCAATGGGAATGTGCTAAATAAATCATTCTGTCTACTATTATTCTGACATTTCACATTCTTAAAATAACGTGGTGATCCTAACTGACCTAAGACAGGGAGTTTTTACTAGGATTAAATGTCAGGAATTGTGAAAAACTGAGTTTAAATGTATTTGACTAAGGTATATGTAAACTTCCGACTTCAACTGTACGTTTGATCCTGTTTGGTGGGTGTGGCAAGGTATGGCTTGAAGCAATGAGTAATGTTTTAACCTTTTCACACGTGAGTTACAAATATCTCTAACGGTCACCCCAGCATGAGTTGTTTTATGCATGTGATGTCAGAATGCACTCACTGTTCCAAAATGTGATCGTTACGCAACAGGACTATTAACACGCGCTGATTGCTAATTATCTATAGGCTATGTTTCAATTTGTCAATTTCAAATTATTTTCAAACAATATTTATTTTCTAACAACTGTCTGAATTGAGGTGTGTTCCGCCTCCTCTTTAATTAAAAATAGAAGTAGCCCATTTCAGTGACAATTTATGTTTGAGGCTTTACTGAGCCAGACAAACTTCTCTCTTCAATGAGAGCCCAAGCACTTCCCCAGTGTTTCCGCAGATCAAGTATGCAGACATTTGCACAGTATTGCACGAACTGGCACATTTTCTGGCTGGCGTTCGCAATTGCCTTCGTTGTTGTTTTCCTTACAAATAATAACTTTGGACACTCTTGGCATTCTCTCAACCAGCTTCACCTGGAATGCTTTTCCAACAGTCTTGAAGGAGTTCCCACATATGCTGAGCACTTGTTGGCTGCTTTTCCTTCATTCTGCCGTCCGACTCATCCCAAACCATCTCAATTGGGTTGAGGTCGGGGGGTTGTGGAGGCCAGGTCATCTGATGCAGCACTCCATCACTCTCCTTCCTGGTAAAATAGCCCTTACACAGCCTGGAGGTGTGTTGGGCCATTGTCCTGTTAAAAAACAAATGATAGTCCCACTAAGCCCAAACCAGATGGGATGGCGTATCGCTGCAGAATTCTGTGGTAGCCATGCTGGTTAAGTGTGCCTTGAATTCTAAATAAATCACAGACAGTGTCACCAGCAAAGCACCCCCTAACCATAACACCTCCTCCTCCATGCTTTACGGTGGGAAATACACATGCGGAGATCATCCGTTCACCCACACCGTGTCTCACAAAGACATGGCGATTGGAACCAAAAATCTCAAATTTGGACTCCAGACCAAAGGATACATTTCCACCGGTCTAATGTCCGTTGCTCGTGTTTCTTGGCCCAAGAAAAGCTGGTTGAGAGAATGCCAAGAGTGTAAAAAGCTGTCATCATGGCAAAGGGTGGCTATTTGAAGAATCTCAAATATAAAATATATTTTGATTTGTTTAACACTTTTTTTGTTACTACATGATTCCATAAGTGTTATTTCATAGTTTTGATGTCTTCACTATAATTCTGCAATGTAGAAAATATTAAAAATGAAGAAAAACCCTTGAATGAGTAGGTGTGTCCAAACATTTGACTGGTAGCATAGGTGGTAAACTATAATAAGCAAATCGGCCACACAACCAGTAGGTACCATTTGGGGCTCCTTTCAGTGTGATATACTTATTGTAGACAGAAATAGTATAACTCACATTTCCTGGTGCTCCTGTAACAGAATCATGTACTTCAAGAGAGCAGTTATTGCTACCATTAACCAACATAGTAAAGTTACAAACATTTTCACCCAAATGGTTACTCCCATTTCCTCTATACACCAGGGGGATACCAGGGATCCTACGATAGGGATGGGTGGGTTACTGCAATTGTTTGGTCTAGGATATACAAGGCTGACAATAACATTGTACGTCACAAAATAAGTCATGGGGTAGGGATTCTTTGGGGAGGGAATTGACCTATGACAAAATTGAGGACAGTTGAATAGTTAAGTCAACCCCTAAGGGAACCCCTACATATGGGAGACCCTTACCTACTCCCACTGGACCCAACCCAGGTACCCAACAAGAAGTCTTATTTGAGGTGACATTTGCCACCATTTCATCTTGAGAGGGAGGAACAGATTCCCTCCCTCATCTTGACCTTTTTTACTTTTCTTATCCTTTGGCTGACTTCTCCTTCTGGACCACTACTCCGGGTCTGCAGTGGTCCCTTTGGCTCGGGACTTTCATCTTCACCTGATCGGTCACCCACTGGAGGGCAACCAACTGTTCCAATCAACACAATGGTGCAGATCCAGACAGGCAGGCCACACAGCCTAAGGGATGGGACTCCTGCCATCCTCCTCAGGGGCAGGAACTCATCTGCAGTATGAGACATGAATCCAGGTGTCCCTCTCAGCTACCTTTACCGCAGTTGGGGTGGTCAGCAAAACCTGATATGGTCCTCTCCAACAAGGATCCTTCCAGCTATTCCTTCTGTAGTCTTTTACCACCACGAAGTCTCCAGGGCACAGACAATGCTCAGTTCCTCTTGATAGGTTGGGCAGAGAAGCCTTCACCCATGGGAAGAGAGTCTTAAGAACATTGTTAAGTGAGACACCGTATGCTACCATGTCTTCTTCCATTCCCTGCAATGTCAACCTGTTTTGAGGAAATGGCGTGTTAGTCATTCTCATGGGTCGCCCTGTCAGCACCTCATGGGGAGAGAGACCAGTCACTGTGTGGGATCTGCCTCTCATGCTCATCAGTGCCAATGGAAGCACTTTCACCCATGTCAGGCTTGTTTCACCAATCAGTTTAATCAATTTCGTTTTGGGGGTTTGGTTTGCCCATTCTACCGCACCCACAGATTGAGGATGATAGGCACAATGGGTTCTCAAATCAACCTGTAAAGCCTCTGACAGGGACTGAACAATCTCATTCACAAAATGTCGACCATTGTCAGAGGAGACTTTTGATGGTAGACCCCACCTTGGTATGATCTCTCTCAGAAGAGCCTTTGCCACAGCTGCCGCTGTGGCTCTCCTGCAAGGAAAAGATTCAATCCATTTTGAAAATATGTCAACAACCACCAAACAATAATTGTTCCACTCACAAGGGGTCAACTCAATGGAGTCCATCATCAAGTGCTCAAAGGGGCCATCTGGCCTGGGATGGGACACGGGGATACTATTAGTCATACAGATCACACACTTCTTACAATTTTTGGGGGGCAAACACAGTAAATCCTGCTGCACTCCAATATTTATTTACAAGATCCACCATCCCTCCTTTTGACACATGGTCTTGACCATGTGACAACTTAGCAAGATATTGTAAAGTACAACGGGGCATGGCAGGTCTATTAGAATCATCAAGCCATATACCTGAGGTGCCCTTGTGACAGTGTTCAGCCCACTGCATTTCTCAGTCGCAAAAGCTGCTGCCTGCAAAACAACAACATCATTAGGAGAGAAGGGGTTAGTGGGAACAGGAACTGCTGCCATCTGTAGAAGGGGGGAAACAGAAGAGGAAGCAGCCAGCTTGGCCACACAATCAGCTTTAGCGTTCCCTTGAAAAACACTGCCCTTTGCAGAAGTGTGTGCTTGGCACTTAACCACTGCAATAGATGAAGGGAGCTGAATGGCCATCAGCAAAGAGGAGACAAGATCACTATGAGTAATAGCTTTTCCAGACGAAGTAAAAAATCCTCTATTCTTCCACAACATGCCAAAATTGTGCACAATACCAAATGCATATCTACTATCAGTGTAGGTATTAACAGAGCAATCCTTAGTCAAAATACATGTTCTGGTTAAACCAAATAACTCTGCTGCCTGAGCAGACAAGTTAGGGGGAAGTCTAGCACTTTCCACAGTTTGAACAGCGGTGACAACAGAATAGCCTACTAAAGGTTCACCCTTGTCGTTTCGCTGGGCAGAGCCATCCACAAAAAACTCAAAGTCCGAATTCAAAAGAGGAACGTCTTTTAGGTCAAGCCTAGGGCTACAGTCAACCTCAATTGTCAATTCACAGTCATGTTCTTCACCGGCATCAGCTGTAGGGAAGAGAGTAGAGGCTGTTCTGATAACAGGCTGTTCTGATAATCTAGCAATCTGGCAGGTGTAAGATGGGCAGTTTTAGCCTGTGTAATAATGGCATGAACCGCATGGGGAACATGCACCATCAGCTCAGTCATTGCTACAATATCAGAACATGCCAAAACTGCCTCAGTTGCCGCAGCAACAGAGCGGAGGCAGGAAACCATGCCTCGGATAACAGTGTCTAAACGCTTAGAGTAGTACCCCACAGGCCTATAGCCAACTCTGTGGTATTGTGTCAACACAGCAGACATAAACCCATGATTCTCAGAGTCAAAAAGATGGAATGGTTTGGTGTGGTCAGGCAAACCCAAACAGGGGGTCGACATTAGAGCCTGCTTTAACTTAATCAAGGCTAATTCAACCTTCAGACATTTCCATCTTTCTGCCATAAATACAATCCTGCAGAGGCTGTACTGTCTCCACATAGTCTTTCAACCATGGGCGACAGTAGCCAGCCACTCCCAACAGCGACATAATGTGCTGCTTAGTGACAGGTTTAGGCAGGGACTTTATCACCTCAAGCCTATCTTTATAAGATGAACTGGCAACAGACAAACAGAAAACGCAGGTATAAATACACACGGGATAATGGGGAAAATGGGAGACACCTGGTGGGGGGTGGAGACAAGCACAAGACAGGTGAAACAGATCAGGGTGTAACACTTTAGAGAGTGTGCAACCCTCTGAAGTAATGTCATAACCCAAACATTTAACAGAACTTCTACACAACTGCATCTTAGAGGGGGAAGCTTTATGACCATTTTCAGCTAAGAAAATCAACAATGCCTTAGTATCTTAATGACGGATTTCCTCAGATGAGGAACAGACCAACAGGTCATCAAAGTATTGAACCACAGTACTACCTGCAGGGGGAATAAAACCTTCCAGGTTCCTCACTATTTCCTGGGCAAAAATGGTAGGTGATTCAACATAGCCTTGTGGCATCACCGTCCAAGTCTATTTTTTCCCAAGAAACGTAAAAGAGAACCAATCCTGTGACCCAGGGTCAATAGGGACGCTGAAAAATGCATTAGCCAAATCTATAACCGAAAAACAACCGCTCCCAGGGGAACTTGGGAAAGAATAGTAACTGTGTTTGGAACCAGGGGTGCTCTTGCGTGAACAGCATCATTACCTATTCTAAGATCTTGCATTAAACGATATTCACCAGATGGCTTCCTAACAGGTAAAATAGGGGTGTTACAGGGAGAATTTGGGCATGGGATCAAAGCCCCATTTTCAACCAGGGCCTGATGGATGGGAAGAATACCCTTTTCTGCTTCTTTGCTAAGAGGTCTGTGATTATTCTTCGTATGTAACTTCTGCAAGCGCCTCTACTGTACTGATCTATGCCAGGACACAAAAGCATGATAATGCATGCAATGCTTTTTTATAAAGGAGCTATTTTTTCATGCGTTCTAGTACCTCAGAGCACACTGGGTCACCCCCCTCTTGGGCTCATTTTTTGTTCTGGCACCTCCAAATTGACAAATTAAGCACTGGCCATGACTACAAGGTCCGATAGGAATTTCGGGAACTCAGTGAGGAACGCTGTATATGGCCCAGGAGGCCTGTAAACAGTAGCTATAAAAAGTGATTGAGTAGGCTGCATAAATTTCATGACTAGAAGCTCAAAAGACGAAAACGCAGAAATTATATATTTTTTTAATTGAAATTTGCTGTTGTAAATGTTTGGTATTTTATTAGGATCCCCATTAGCTGCTGTTTACAATTAGCAGCAGGTACAATTCCTGGGGTCCACACAAACATGAAATATTACATAATAAAGAACATTAATAGACAAGAACTGCTCAAGGACAGAACTACAATTTTTTTTTTTAAAGGCACACGTAGCCTACATATCAATACATACACACAAACTATCTAGGTCAAATAGGGGAGAGGCATTGCGTCGTGAGGTGTTGCTTTATCTGCTTTTTGAAACCAGGTTTACTGTTTATTTGAGCAATATGAGATGGAACGGACTTAAATGCAATAATGGCTCTATATAATACTGTATGCTTTCTTAAATTTGTTCTGGATTTGGGGACTGTGAAAATACCCCTGGTGGCATGTCTGGTGGGGTAGCGTATGTGTCAGAGCTATGTGTAAGTTGACTATGCAAACAATTTGGGATTTTCAACACATTCATGTTTCTTCTAAAAAGAAGCAGTGATGCAGTCAGTCTCTCCTCAACTTTTAGCCAAGAGAGACTGGCATGCATAGTATTTATATCAGCCCTCTGATTACAATGAAGAGCAAGACCTGCCACTCTGTTTTGGGCCAGTTGCAGCTTTACTAGGTATTTCCTTGCAGCACTGGACCACACGACTGGACAATAATCAAGATTAGACAAAACTTTTCTGAAGTGGTGTGCAATGGTTGGCGAGCTGCGGTCACTCCTACCAGTTCCTGTACTGGCCGTCACAGCTACAGCTTCCAAGGCTACAAGCAAGAGCATAATGAAGCACCTGGGCATGCGGCAATGTGTTGAGTCGATGAAAAGTCCTGACAGGGACAACATCAGACTGGCATTGAAGAAGGTGTCATCTGATCCTGTAGAGACGTTTTCATGGTTGCTCACAGAGTTGGAGTCAAATACTTATTTTCCACCATAATTTGCAAATAAATTCATTAAAAATCCTACAATGTGATTTTCTGGATTTTTTTTTCTCATTTTGTCTGTCATAGTTGACGTGTACCTATGATGAAAATTACAGGCCTCTCTCATCTTTTTAAGTGGGAGAACTTGCACAATTGGTGGCTGACTAAATACTTTTTTTCCCCACTGTATGTGAGGGCAATTCAAGTCCTTTGGAGAGGCATGCAGGACAACAATTACAACCAAGACATAGGCTGGTCAGTGAAGAGCATAGGCAAAACCTGAGAGACAAATGACATGACCTTGCACTTGAAATGGCGCACACAGGTGTTCATGGGAGTGTCTGTTTATTGCACATCAGCCAATGAGGGTAACCCTGACAACATCATCAGCAACATTCTGAGTGCATTTCCCTTACTTTTCTGAATTGAGGACAGTTTTTCTGCTCTGCCCATTACTGCATGAGACATGCAATAGCCCTACTGTCTATCATCACTGAGGTTTTGGGGATGATGAACACTTGAATGATGATGATTATGATGATGAGGATTCAGTGTTGGGGCAACTTGGGTCTTTTGCAAACATGACTGTGTATATACATGAGGACTTGTACATGCTGTGTTGATTAATACTGTAGGTACTGTCTCATCTGCTTAACACTTCAAAAGACTTAAGGAATTTAGTGTAGGATATTATTGTTGTGGAAACAGGCCGTTTTACCATTGAGTTGTATGGAATAGTAAAATGTATGCCGTACACAGACTGTAAATAAATAATTTAGCTTAAAGAGCCACTGAACACACCGATTGGCCCGTGTGTTTTTCTGTTGCTCATTTGAAAAACGAGATTTCAGTCTTGGAGGTGTGTTTTCTGACTGATTCCACGTTTGGTTAATGATGTTTGTCAAGGGCTGAGGTGTATGGAGTGTGGAAGTCAGGCGCAGGACACCGAAGTTTAGTCCAACAAAGTTTACTGTGAAAACCACTGGGCAAAAAATACAGTAAACGGCCTCAACAACAAAACCGAGGCGAGCAATACGCAAACCATGCGTATAACAAATAAACAAGAAAACAAATACAAAACACGCAGCATTACGGACAGGCGGAAAACAACACACAACCTAACCAATACAACACAGGCACTTATAGAACACGTAATCAGACACAAACGGACACAGGTGTGACAGACAGACAAAAGCGATCACACATAGAAACATTCAACGGTGGCAGCTAGTACTCCGGGGACGACGAACGCCGAAGCCTGCCCGAACCAGGAGGAGGAGCAGCCTCGGCAGAATCCGTGACAGTACCCCCCCCTTGACGCGCGGCCCCAGCCGTGCGCCGACCCCGGCCTCGGGGACGGCCAGGAGGACGCGGACCCGGGCGCGTGGGATGCCCATGGTGGAACTCCGTCAGGAGGGATGGATCTAGGATGTCCCTCCTAGGCACCCAGCACCGTTCCTCCGGACCGTACCCCTCCCACTCCACGAGATACTGGAGACCACCCATCCGGCGCCTCGAGTCCAAGATGGTCCGGACTCTGTACGCCGGGACCCCCTCGATGTCCAAAGGGGGCGGAGGGGTCTCTCCTATCTCATGTTCTTGGAGTGGGCCAGCTACCACCGGCCTGAGAAGAGACACATGGAACCAGGGGTTAATATTCTTGTACTCAATAGGCAATTGTAACCTGTAACACACCTCGTTCAATCTTCTCAGGACTTTAAAGGGCCCCACAAACCGCCGACCCAGCTTCCGGCAGGGCAGGTGGAGGGGCAGGTTTCGAGTCGAGAGCCAGACTCGATCTCCCGGTGCGTATACCGGTCCCTCACTGCGGTGGCGATCGGCGCTCCCCTTTTGTTGACGGATGGCCCGCTGCAGATGGACATGGGCAGCGTCCCACGTCTCCTCCGAGCGCCAAATCCACTCATCCACCGCAGGGGCCTCGATCTGGCTCTCGTGCCATGGTGCCAGGACCGGCTGATAACCTAAAACACACTGGAAAGGTGTTAAATTGGTGGAGGAGTGGCGGAGAGAGTTCTGGGCCATCTCTGCCCAGGGGATATACCTAGACCACTCCTCCGGCCGGTCCTGGCAATAGGACCTCAGAAACCTACCCACATCCTGGTTGACTCGTTCAACCTGCCCATTGCTTTCTGGGTGGTACCCCGAGGTAAGGCTCACCGAGACCCCCAAGCGTTCCATGAACGCCCCCCAGACTCTGGAGGTGAACTGGGGACCTCGGTCAGACACTATATCCTCGGGGACCCCATAGTGCCGGAACACGTGGGTAAATAGGGCCTCAGCGGTCTGTAGGGCAGTAGGGAGACCCGGCATTGGGAGGAGACGACAGGCCTTGGAAAACCGATCCACAACGACCAAGATGGTGGTATTCCCCTGGGAGGGGGGTAGGTCGGTCACCAAATTCACCGAGAGGTGGGACCATGGTCGTTGTGGAACGGGCAGGGGATGTAACTTTCCCCTGGGCAAATGTCTAGGCACCTTACACTGGGCGCACACCGAGCAGGAGGAGACATAAACCCTCACATCCCTAGCTAACGTTGGCCACCAGTATTTCACGCTAAGGCAGTGCACTGTCCGGCCAATACCTGGATGTCCAGAGGAGGGTGATGTATGAGCCCAATAAATAAGGCGATCACGAACCTCGAGCGGAACGTACGTCCGCCCCACCGGACACTCGGGGGGAGTAGGGTCGGTACGCAGTGCCCGCTCGATCTCCGCATCGACCTCCCACACCACCGGAGCCACCAGACAAGACTCCGGCAGTATGGGAGTAGGCTCAATGGACCTCTCCTCTGTGTCATACCGCCGGGACAGGGCGTCTGCCTTACCGTTCTGGGACCCTGGGATATATGTGATCTTAAAAACAAACCGGGTCAGGAACATGTTCCACCTACCCTGACGAGGGTTCAATCTCCTAGCTGCCCGGATGTACTCCAGGTTACGGTGATCAGTTAGAATGAGGAAAGCCCCCTCAAGCCAATGCCTCCACACCTTTAGGGCCTGGACTACAGCTAACAGCTCCCTGTCCCCAACGTCATAATTACGCTCCGCCGAGCTGAGCTTCTTAGAGTAGAACGCACAGGGGCGGAGCTTAGGTGGCGTGCCGGACCGTTGCGACAGGACTGCCCCAATGCCGGCCTCGGACGCGTCTACCTCCACTTGGAATGGTAAAGAGGGATCCGGATGCGCCAGCACCGGGGCCGAGGTGAACAGGTTCTTCAGTTTGACAAATGCCCTGTCCGCCTCAGCTGACCACTGCAAACGAACCGGACCCCCCTTTAGCAGGGACGTAATGGGAGCTGCAACCTGTCCAAAGCCCCGGATAAACCTCCGGTAGTAATTAGCAAAACCCAAGAACTGCTGCATCTCTTTTACAGTGGTTGGAGTTTGCCAATTACGCACGGCTGACACACGGTCTACCTCTATCTCCACACCAGACGCGGACAACCGATAACCCAAAAAGGAGACGGACTCCTGGAAGAACAGGCATTTCTCTGCCTTGACATACAAGTCATGCTCCAACAGTCTTCTCAACACTCGGCGCACCAGGGCTACATGCTCGGCTCGTGTAGAAGAGTACACTAGGATGTCGTCGATGTATACTACCACACCCTGCCCATGCATGTCCCGGAAAATCTCGTCAACAAAGGATTGGAAGACTGAAGGAGCATTCATTAACCCGTAAGGCATGACGAGATACTCGTAATGACCCGAGGTGGTGCTAAATGCAGTTTTCCATTCATCCCCCTCCCTAATGCGCACCAGATTATACGCGCTCCTGAGATCCAACTTTGTGAAGAACCGCGCTCCGCGTAATGATTCTGTCATAGTCGCAATCAGTGGAAGAGGGTAACTGTACTTAACCGTGATCTGATTGAGACTACGGTAATCAATACACGGGCACAAACCCCCGTCCTTCTTCTTCACAAAGAAGAAACTTGAGGAAACCGGGGAAGTGGAGGACCGTATGTATCCCTGTGCCAAGGACTCGGCTATGTAAGTCTCCATAGCCGCTGTCTCCTCTTGAGACAGGGGATACACACGGCTCCGCGGAAGTGCCGCTCCTGTTTGGAGATTTATCGCACAATCCCCCTGTCTATGAGGTGGTAGCCGTGTTGCCCTCGTTTTGCTGAACACAAGTGCTAAATCCTCATACTCAGGGGGAATGCGCATTGCGGGCACTTGGTTCGGACTCTCTACCGAGGTCGCCCCTAAGGAAACACCTAGACATCTCCCTACACACTGGGCAGACCACTCCATAAGAGCCCTCTGTTGCCACGCAATGGTAGGATCATGGGCGCTTAACCAGGGAAGCCCCAACACCACGGGATACGCAGGAGAGTCAATCAGATAAAACTGAATGATCTCCTCATGACCCCCTGCGTCATCATCTTAAGTGGTGCTGTGACTTCTCTGATCAGCCCCGACCCCAACGGCCGGCTGTCTAGGGCGAAAACAGGAAAGGGGGCTTCTACCGGCCGAAGGGGAATTCATAACCTAATACAAAATGCACGATCAACAAAATTCCCAGCTGCGCCTGAATCTACTAGCGCCTTATGCTGGGAATGAGGTGCCACCTGTGGAAATCTCACAGGTATACTCATGTGACCAACAGAGAGCTCTGGGTAAGTGGGGCGCCTACTCACCTGAAATGACTCCCCATTGCGTGACCTGTTGTCCCCTCTCCCAGGAGACCCTCCCCAGCACCTGGCCGCGGTGTGTCCTCCACGGCCACAGTTGGTGCAGGGGATGGCCCCCCTCGGGTTCTCTCTCCTCCTCTCTCTAGCGCCAGCACCCCCGAGCTCCATGGGAATCGGCTCGGAGGTGCTGGAGGGTGGAATGGACGACCCCCACTCGGGACGTCCGCGGGTAGCCAGCAGGGTGTCGAGCCGGATGGAGATGTCCACCAACTGGTCGAAGGCTAGGTTGGTGTCCCTGCAGGCCAGCTCATGACGAACGTCCTCTCGTAGGCTACACCGGTAATGGTCGATGAGGGCCCTCGCATTCCATCCCGCATCCGCCGCTAGAGTCCGGAACTCCAGGGCGAACTCCTGTGCGCTCCTCTTCCCCTGTCGGAGGTGGAACAGACGCTCCCCCGCCGCCTTCCCCTCAGGTGGGTGATCGAAGACAGCCCTGAAGCGGCGGGAGAACTCCGCGTAGGTGATGGTAGCTGCGTCTATTCCCCTCCATTCGGCGTTGGCCCACTCCAACGCCTTGCCGGATAGACAGGAGATGAGGGCGGAGACGCTCTCGTATCCCGAGGGCGCTGGGTGTATGGTAGCCAGGTAGAGTTCCACCTGCAGGAGGAACCCCTGACACCCGGCTGCAGAACCGTCATATGGTTCTGCAGAACGCCACTGGGTTCCGGTGCTGAGAGAGGAGGACTGGCCGTTGGTGATGGGATGGTGTGAGAAGGCGTGGGCACCTCTCCAGTAACCAACCGGCGCAGAGTGTTGGACACCTCGTTCATGGCGGCCCCAAGTCGCCGGATCATGGTGTCTTGGTCGCTGATCCGATCCTCCAGCGACTTGGGTGCCGCCACTGCTCCTGCTGACTCCATAGTGGTGTGTTGTTCTGTCAAGGGCTGAGGTGTATGGAGTGTGGAAGTCAGGCGCAGGACACCGAAGTTTAGTCCAACAAAGTTTACTGTGAAAACCACTGGGCAAAAAATACAGTAAACGGCCTCAACAACAAAACCGAGGCGAGCAATACGCAAACCATGCGTATAACAAATAAACAAGAAAACAAATACAAAACACGCAGCACTACGGACAGGCGGAAAACAACACACAACCTAACCAATACAACACAGGCACTTATAGAACACGTAATCAGACACAAACGGACACAGGTGTGACAGACAGACAAAAGCAATCACACATAGAAACATTCAACGGTGGCAGCTAGTACTCCGGGGACGACGAACGCCGAAGCCTGCCCGAACCAGGAGGAGGAGCAGCCTCGGCAGAATCCGTGACAATGTTTGCCCCCCATGAGACACTCTAGACGCGGAAGCCTATTTCACTTTCTTAAAATCCCCAGAATGATTCTAAGATAACTCATGAAATCTGTAATACATTTTGACGTTTTTGCCGAGGATGTTTTAGTTGTGTAGTTTTACATCTAATTAAGGTGTTTGATGCAGTATTTCTCAAGTAAAAAAAATGTGCATTGTGTTTTTTTATGTAAACAAAGTCGGGCTGTTGGGCAGGTCTGTTTCACTGTCTATGCTATTGGATAGAGAGCAATCACTGCAACTGTTCACCCCATGTTAGTGGGCAAATGCACGTCGTCAAATCAAAACCAAACCTTCATTTACCAGTTGTGACACACGGATGTTCCAAACTCTGTTTTAGACGAGACTGACTTAATGACCCTAAAATATTATTTACACACTAGACTAACTGTTTCTGACTCATCGATGCCACATAGGCCGTTTTCAAAGGGATTCGTTGCTTTTTGAAGGCAGTCGCTCTTCAAAGTTCACCTGTAGCTGCATGGCCTATTGCAATGATAAAAGTTAGCTGTAGATAGCTATGTTGTTCGAAGGAAGAGCACTTACTTTACCTTCGCGGTGATCACTTTCGTTGTTAAAATGTAATATATTGCATAATCATTTTCATGATTCAGTGTGCATAATGTCTGCCAATTTGAAAAAGAAATAGCAAAGTGAGTTTGATATTTCATTTCCATGGTACTATCCAGTACAACACTGACACATTTAAAATCAAATGTAAATGCTTAAATAACACAAAAAAATCTCATATATGCTGAACTGCAGTCAGGTCAAGGCCCTGATAAGGACAACGAGCACACAGATTAGCTTCCTTGAGACGGTTTCTGACAATATGTGCAGAATTTCTTCGGTTGTGCAAACCCACAGTTTCATCAGCTGTCCAGTTGGCTGGTCTCAGACGATCCTGCACGTGAATACGCCGGATGTGGAGGTGCTGGGCTGGCGTGGTTACACGTGGTCTGCGGTTGTGAGCGGGTTGGACACACTGCCAAATTCTCTAGATTATCAACAAAAAAAAGGTTTCAACAACTGCTTGCAGTTCTGAGCCAACCTGGATATCAACAAGATCCTGAAGGAAATCGACGAGTACCAGCAGCTTTATGCTATGGAGGAAACACATACTCCATCGCGGATAGATCCAGCTACCTCACAAAATAACTCCAACCCGACCAAAAAAAGAGATTCATCTACAGACACGGACGATTTACTTACCGTTGAAGTAGAGGCTAGTGCTGTTGCTGGAATCCATGCAACACTTGAAAAGTTGTGTGAGGTGGTAGCAGGGCTGAGGGGGAGCTTGGAGTTTAGTCACAGTGAAATTCTCATGCTTCTAGGAGAAAACAAAGCACTCACAGCCAAGGTAAAAACCCTCGATTCCAACATGGACTCAGGGAAAACAGGGTGATGACGGATTCACTACTAGACATACAAAACCAAAGCATTGGTGATTTAATTTTATTTTTCTGGGATTCCGGGAAGATGCATCCAACAATCCAGAGGGCGCGATGAGAGTGTTCATGCAGTCCACCTTTAAAGTTCCTCTAGAGACTGTAAACAAGGTGGTTTCCCACCGAGTGCACAGACTTTGAGCTCAGAGAGACAAGACCAAGGGTCCCCGACCTATCATCGCAGAATTTGAACACTACCAACAAAAGGAGCTGATGCAAAGCAGGGGAAGGAACATAAAGTGACCAAATTCAGTCTCAATTATCAATTTCCCCGGGAGATAAACGAACGTCGCAAGAGACTGTATCCTGTTCAGAGGCAACAGAGGGAGAGGGGTCAGCGTGCCTTTCTCATTGTGGACAAACTCTTTATGGAAGGACAGCTTTTCCAAGACAGCTCCATAACAACATGGTTATACTAAATTCTACGGGGACACCAGGTTACGGAAAAAATTATGGGAACTGTAAAATATCTGAACAGTATGAGGTTGATACATGCACACACACACACGCACGCACTCAATTACACGCTCTCGCGCACACACACGGACGCACACTCATAAACATTTGATCACTCTGCCCTCTCTTTCTCTCTCTTCTCTCTCTCCCTCTCCCCTCTCTCTCTCTATTGTCTAGAACTTGTTATAATTCAATATGTTTCTTGTTTGTCCGTCTTTTGTATGTCTTTGTCTACATTTCTATACAGTATATGTTTACAATAAGCAATGGGTAGATATCAGAACAGGAAGACGTTGGGGAATAACATCTTGTACGGGATACATTTGTACTGTGGTGAAGCCGTCTCTCTAGTAATCCAATGTCTCTTTCATAATCATGTGAAATGTCAATTAATATGGAAATGCTGGGATGTGTTTTTCTATGAATATGTTTAAAACAACTATGATGATGATACTATATGGATTACAATTATTATTTTGAATATTAAGGCTACACTTACTTCATGTTACACACAGACACTCAACCATGCAAATTGACTGGGATATTATAATTTTCTGTAATGGAAAAAGGATCTAAAAAATGTGTGATGATACTAATTAACAAAAATGTCAATCCGAATGTGCAAACAGTCAGGAATGATCCGCAAGGAAGGTGGACGCTTTTGAATATGAAAGTGGATGAAAAACCGATTTGGTTGATTAATCTATATGGTCCAAATCAGGATCATCCACATTTCTTCTAAACTATTTATACCATTCTATTAAATTTATAGGCAACAAACGATCAAATCATTATAGTGGGAGACTATAACACAGGGTTAAGTACCTCAATGGACTGTAAAGGAAATCACTCTACAAACTATCATCCTCGTGCCCTTAAGGAGATCACAAATATTATGGACACATTAGAAATAGTGGATATTTGGAGACTAAAAAACCCTGACCTAGTGAGATACAGTGCCTTGCAAAAGTATTCATCCCCCTTGGCATTTTTCCTATTTTGTTGCATTACAACCTGTAATTAAAATTGATATTTATTTGGATTTCATGTAATAGACATACACAAAATAGTCCAAATTGGTGAAGTGAAATTAAAAACATAACTTGTTCAAAACATTCTAAAAACATAAATAACGGAAAAGTGGTGCGTGCATATGTATTCACCCCCTTTGCTATGAAGCCCCTAAATATGATCTGGTGCAACCAATTACATTCAGAAGTCACATAATTAGTTAAATAAAGTCCACCTGTGTGCAATCTAAGTGTCACATGATCTCAGTATACATACACCTGTTCTGAAAGGCCCCAGAGTCTGCAACCCCACTAAGCAAGGGGCACCACCAAGCAAGCGGCACCATGAAGACCAAGGAGCTCTCCAAACAGGTCAGGGACAAAGTTATGGAGAAGTACAGATCAGGGTTGGGTTATAAAAAAATATCTGAAACTTTGAACATCCCACGGAGCACCATTAAATCCATCATTAAAAAAATTGAAAGAATGTGGCACCACAACAAATCTGCCAAGAGAGGGCCGCCCACCAAAAGTCACAGACCAGGCAAGGAGGGCATTAACCAGAGAGGTAACAAAGAGACCAAAGATAACCCTGAAGGAGCTGCAAAGCTCAACAGCGGAGATTGGAGTGTCTGTCCATAGGACCACTTTAAGCCGTACACTCCACAGAGCTGGGCTTTACGGAAGAGTGGCCAGAAAAAAGCCATTGCTTGAAGAAAAAAATAAGCAAACACGTTTGGTGTTCGCCAAAAGGCATGTGGGAGACTCCCTAAACATATGGAAGAAGGTACTCTGGTCAGATGAGACTAAAATTGGAATCAAGGAAAATGCTATGTCTGGCACAAACCCAACACCTCTCATCACCCAGAGAACATCATCCCCACAGTGAAGCATGGTGGTGGTAGCATCATGTTGTGGGAATGATTTTCATCGGCAGGGACTGAGAAACTGGTCAGAATTGAAGGAATGATGGATGGCGCTAAATAAAGGGAAATTCTTGAGGGAAACCTGTTTCAGTCTTCCAGAGATTTGAGACTGGGACGGAGGTTCACCTTCCAGCAGGACAATGACCCTAAGCATACTGCTAAAGCAACACTCGAGTGGTTTAAGGGAAAACATTTAAATGTCTTGGAATGCCCTAGTCAAAGCCCAGACCTCAATCCAACTGAGAATCTGTGGTATGACTTAAAGATTGCTTTACACCAGCGGAACCCATCCAGCTTGAAGGAGCTGGAGCAGTTTTGCCTTGAAGAATGGGCAAAAATCCCCGTGGCTAGATGTGCCAAGCTTATAGAGACATACCCCAAGAGACTTGCATCTGTCATTTCTGCAAAAGGTGGATCTACAAAAATATTGACTTTGGGGGGGTGAATAGTTATGCACGCTCAAGTTTTCAGTTATTTTGTCTTATTTCACACAAAAAAATATTTTGCATCTTCAAAGTGGTAGGCATGTTGTGTAAATCAAATGATACAAACCCCCCAAAAATCAATTTTAATTCCAGGTTGTAAAGCAACAAAATAGGAAAAATGCCAAGGGGGGTGAATACGTTCGCAAGCCACTGTATGTCTTTCATGGAGATATCAGAATTGTATGGGAAGGTCTGCTCAATCGAAAATTACAACCAATTGATTACAATATTACCCCAAAAATGGAGGAGCCAGGTGTCAGCGGGAAGAGGTAGGGAACTGGTCTGTCTGCCCAATATAAAGGGCCAAAACTGGCGGATACAGTGCATTCGGAATGTACAGTGGGGAAAAAAAGTATTTAGTCAGCCACCAATTGTGCAAGTTCTCCCACTTAAAAAGATGAGAGAGGCACTTCTCAGCCTTGACGAACAGGTGGTTGGCGAGGAGGCGTTTCAGGACTGCTCGAACGTGAACAATGTGATCCTCCAGGGTAGCCAAGTAGATCAGGATGTCATCGATATACAGTGGGGAAAAAAAGTATTTAGTCAGCCACCAATTGTGCAAGTTCTCCCACTTAAAAAGATGAGAGAGGCCTGTAATTTTCATCATAGGTACACGTCAACTATGACAGACAAATTGAGAAAAAAAATTCCAGAAAATCACATTGTAGGATTTTTTATGAATTTATTTGCAAATTATGGTGGAAAATAAGTATTTGGTCACCTACAAACAAGCAAGATTTCTGGCTCTCACAGACCTGTAACTTCTTCTTTAAGAGGCTCCTCTGTCCTCCACTCGTTACCTGTATTAATGGCACCTGTTTGAACTTGTTATCAGTATAAAAGACACCTGTCCACAACCTCAAACAGTCACACTCCAAACTCCACTATGGCCAAGACCAAAGAGCTGTCAAAGGACACCAGAAACAAAATTGTAGACCTGCACCAGGCTGGGAAGACTGAATCTGCAATAGGTAAGCAGCTTGGTTTGAAGAAATCAACTGTGGGAGCAATTATTAGGAAATGGAAGACATACAAGACCACTGATAATCTCCCTCGATCTGGGGCTCCACGCAAGATCTCACACCCGTGGGGTCAAAATGATCACAAGAACGGTGAGCAAAAATCCCAGAACCACACGGGGGGACCTAGTGAATGACCTGCAGAGAGCTGGGACCAAAGTAACAAAGCCTACCATCAGTAACACACTACGCCGCCAGGGACTCAAATCCTGCAGTGCCAGACGTGTCCCCCTGCTTAAGCCAGTACATGTCCAGACCCGTCTGAAGTTTGCTAGAGTGCATTTGGATGATCCAGAAGAGGATTGGGAGAATGTCATATGGTCAGATGAAACCAAAATATAACTTTTTGGTAAAAACTCAACTCGTCGTGTTTGGAGGACAAAGAATGCTGAGTTGCATCCAAAGAACACCATACCTACTGTGAAGCATGGGGGTGGAAACATCATGCTTTGGGGCTGTTTTTCTGCAAAGGGACCAGGACGACTGATCTGTGTAAAGGAAAGAATGAATGGGGCCATGTATCGTGAGATTTTGAGTGAAAACCTCCTTCCATCAGCAAGGGCATTGAAGATGAAACGTGGCTGGGTCTTTCAGCATGACAATGATCCCAAACACACCGCCCGGGCAATGAAGGAGTGGCTTCGTAAGAAGCATTTCAAGGTCCTGGAGTGGCCTAGCCAGTCTCCAGATCTCAACCCCATAGAAAATCTTTGGAGGGAGTTGAAAGTCTGTGTTGCCCAGCGACAGCCCCAAAACATCACTGCTCTAGAGGAGATCTGCATGGAGGAATGGGCCAAAATAACAGCAACAGTGTGTGAAAACCTTGTGAAGACTTACAGAAAACGTTTGACCTGTGTCATTGCCAACAAAGGGTATATAACAAAGTATTGAGAAACATTTGTTATTGACCAAAAACTTATTTTCCACCATAATTTGCAAATAAAATCATTTAAAATCCTACAATGTGATTTTCTGGATATTTTTTTCTCATTTTGTCTGTCATAGTTGACGTGTACCTATGATGAAAATTACAGGCCTCTCTCATCTTTTTAAGTGGGAGAACTTGCACAATTGGTGGCTGACTAAATACTTTTTTCCCCTACTGTATTCAGACCCCTTGCCTTTTTCCACATTTTGTTACATTAGAGACGTATTCTAAAATAGATTTTTCCCCTCATCAATCCACACACAATACCCCATAATGACGAAGCAAAAACAGCTTTTTAAAAACGGAAATATCACATTTACATAAGTATTCAGACCCTTTACTCAGTACTTTGTTGCAGTACCTTTGGCAGCAATTACAGCCTTGAGTCTTCTTGGGTATGGCGCTACAAGCTTGGCACACCTGTATTTGGGGGGTTTCTCCCATTCTTCTCTGCAGATCCTCTCAAGCTTTGTCAGGTTGGATGGGTTGTGTCGCTGCAATGCTATTTTCAGGTCTCTCTAGAGAAGTTCGATCGGGTTCAAGTCCGGGCTCTGGCTGGGCCACTCAAGGACATTCAGAGACTTGTCCCGAAGCCTCTCCTGCGTTGTCTTGGCTGTGTGCTTAGGTTCGTTGTCCTGTTGGAAGGTGAACCTTCACCGCAGTCTGAGGTCCTGCGCGCTCTGGAGCAGGTTTTCATCAAAGATTTCTCTGTAATTTGCTCCGTTCATCTTTGCCTCGATCCTGACTAGTCTCCCAGTCCCTTTACATTGAAAAACATCCCCACAGCATGATGCTGCCACCACAATGCTTCACCGTAGGGATGGTGCCAGGTTTCCTCCAGACGTAACGCTTGGCATTTAGGCCAAAGAGTTCAATCTTGGTTTCATCAGACCAGAGAATATTGTTTCTCATGGTCTGAGAGTCCTTTAGGTGCCTTTTGGCAAACTCCAAGCGGGCTGTCGTGCCTTTTACTGAGGAATGGCTTCCATCTGGCCACTCTACCATAACGGCCTGATTGGTGGAGTGCTGCAGAGATGGTTGTCCTTCTGGGAGGTTCTCCGATCTCCACAGAGGACCTCTGGAGCTCTGTCTGAGTCACCATCGGGTTCTTGGTCACCTCCCTCACCAAAGCCCTTCTCCCCTGATTGCTCTGTTTGGCCGGGCGGCCAGCTCTAGGAAGAGTCTTGGTGGTTCCAAACTTCGTCCATTTAAGAATGGTATTCTTGTGTTCTTGGGGATCTTCAATGCTGCAGAGATTTTTTGGTACCCTTCCCCAGATCTGTGCCTCGACACAATCCTGTCTCGGAGCTCTACGGACAATTCCTTCGACCTCATGGCTTGATTTTTGCTCTGACATGCACTGTCAACTGTGGGACCTTATATAGACAGGTGTGTGCCTTTCCAAAACATGTCCAATCAATTGGATTTGGATGAACTCCAATCAAGTTGTAGAAACATCTCAAAGATGATCAATGGAAACAGGATGCACCTGAGCTCAATTTCAAGTCTTATGGCAAAGGGTCTGAATACTTATGTAAATAAGGTATTTCTGTTTTCTATTTTTAATAAATTTGCAAACATTTCTAAAAACCTGTTTTCACTTTGTCATTATGGGGTATTATGTGTGTGCCATACAGATTGCAAAATAGCTGGGATGATACTTTTGATGTACCGATTCCATAGTTTCCAACATACTGTACGATTGGAAGAAACTTATTGGAGAGCAAGAACATTTCTGTATTGTTTTTGCAGAACATCTTATTGAACATGTGACTAGTGGTAACTGTAATTTTGACTGAACACTTCAGGCAGTTCAGGGACAAGCCCTCTTATTCTTCGTCAGTAAAGAAATATTAGTAGTATCATTGGGGATGATATTCCTTTGTGGTTTCTATCAGCTACGGAGACAGGGCCGCCTGTGAAAAAGGAGCACAAATTATGCAAAAAGGTTAGCTTGGATGGAAACCTAAAACACTCATGATCAATGTTGTCTGTGCTTGCTGGCAACAGGGTCCGTGCTATCCGGTATCCTTGGGACATCCCTAGCCCATTGAAGTTGAAATGTCAAATGGTTAGGTAAGGGTTATGGTTAAGGTAAGGGATAAGGTTAGAGTTTAGGGTAGGGACGTCCCAAGGATCCCGGATAGCACTGACCCTGTTGCCAGCAAGCACAGACAACCTCTTCCACCTCACGTTACCAAAGACTCACCCACTGTGTTTGATTGACAGGTCTTACACACATCGAAAATGAAAACGCAAAGGAGCAATGAAGAAAGGAAATAGCAAAATTATGCAACTCAATATTAGGAAGGTGATCCTAATTTTTGGTATACACATCAGTGGAGGCTGCTGAGGGGAGGACGGCTCATAATAATGTCTGGAACGGAGCTAATGGAATTGCATCAAACAGATGAAAACCATGTATTTGATGTATTTGATACCATTCCACTTATTCCACTCCAGCCATTACCACCAGCCTGTCCTCCCCAATTAAGGTGCCACCAACCTCCTGTGATACTCAGTAGGTCAAATACTTATCGAGCATATGTTGAATGTATTTCCTTGTGTGTGAGTGGAGGCCTGTGCATGTAGGAAGGGGAGAATTGACCTCCCTTTTAAAAGAATATAAAGGATATATCAAAAAAACTGCTAAGGATAACAATACTATGTGTATATCATTTAGTTGGCTGCAGATACCTTTTTACACACTCCAATTCATTAATGCAAACAAGCATATCAGGTGGCAGTCTGGAAAACCTTTTGGAATCTAAAATGTGCTAGCTAGCTACCTGGGAGATGAAAGCCCTGCAGTTTGGAATATCTAATAATGATTGGTAGGTAAGAACTAGCCTGGTCCCATACTGTACGTGCTGTAGCAAACTATTGGCATGCCAAGCAATGTTTGGCATGACAATGAAGGAACACAGAGAGGTCGACTTAAGTACAAACAGACTGGACCATCAGGCTAACTAAGAAGTTACATGCATATCTTTGTTCTCGTGTCCCCTTACTTCTTCTGTAAGTAGAAATCCAAGCGGAGGGTGAAGTTTGCGGTCAGTGACTCGGGACAAAGTGAGAAGTCTTCAGAAAGCAACAGCTACAGTGACACCAACACTGACCAGGAGGAGGAGGAGGAGGAGGAGGAGGAGGAAGAAGAGCAAAAGGAAACAGAAGGAAACAAAGACTCCAAAACTCCAAATGAATGATGAAGTGGAAAAAACAATTGAAATAACCATTATTTTTAGTTTTAATGAAGAGTCTGTGATGTTGTATTCTTTCATGCTATCAATTCCTCTTTTAATAAAGAGGTGCTATGCGAGAAATGTTTTGTGTCAGTTAGTGTGCTAGTGAGTTGTGTAGTGCTAAGTTGCCCCTAGACGCTCATCTTGGGTCAGTTTTAGCATGTTCCCCATGGGCACTAATGGTTAAGGTTAGGATTGGGCGAGGGGAAGCTGATCCTAGATCTGTACCTTGGGGAAACGTCACTCCAGAGTGCCAGTTGGTGGTATGCGCCTACCTTGACATTGCACTTCTCCACTAGATGGCAGCAAATGCATGAGTCTTGATGAGAGGGCAATATGTATTTCCTAAAGCAGGGCTCTGTTAATTACACAGGGGAGTGAAGAGAGAGAGAAGAGAGAGAACATATATTACCTATCTGAAGACAAATTACTTTTCTTGCCAGGAGGGGAAACATCCAGATCCGAAGAGGGGGTAACAAACGAGGGGGCATCTCACCCCATTTGGCTCCTACTAGTTACCAATTAATCCTAGAATTTCAGCAAGGTCCCTGATGTATCTACCATATGTAACAGAATGCCCCAGGGCCAAAACTCATTGATTAGAAACCGGGTTCTCTCTATCGATGTTCTCCTTTTCAAGTCTAGGTCCAATAATTAAATCCAGTGTTAATTGGAAGATAACATTTTTGGACCTCTGCCTTTTTTCGTTACCTGTTCTATTATTTTTATATAAGTATTTTTGGAACAGTAACATTATCATACTAAATATAAAAGTATTTGTTTGTGAGGGAAGCATTGGAAGATGCTTTGACCGTAAATATTCTAGGGCCAATGGGTTTCCTCTAGTTGTTTATTACTTTTTCCACAGTGAGTTCAATTCAGTTGAAGTGCCTTGCTCACAAGGCCAAGTGCAGCGTTCCTCATCTGGGCGAATGGCCAATGTTTGAACCAGCTTCTCCAGTCTGTGACCCCAGGATGACACTATTAGCTCTCCCAGCAGCTGCCAGGGCTTCACCGCTCTCCTGTCCAACACACAGGTGGACCAGTCTGCCGGTTTGTGGATTCCTATATTTCTCTATACACACATGGACAGACGGATGGACACACACTGCGTCGTCTTCACGACAAGCATAATGGGCTTCATAAAGAGGCAAGTGCGCCGACAACACTTCTTGGGCCAAAATGTCTGCTTCTGTCCTCGTATTGTTTAGTATGTTTTCCTCCCAAGGCTTGGCCATCTGGCCCATTCATTCTCTTTTTGCTACCAATAAGACATTAATAACCAACACATCTGTGTGATGTCAGCCTCCGAGAGTAGATGGGTCCTACGGCCAAGTCTTATCACTTTTGCTTTTCTTCCCTAAATTTACAGTCACTCCTCAGGGGCCTTGTATAGAGTGTGTGTATGTGTGTGTGTGTCTGTGTGCTCCTCATGTTCACAAGCGGTAAGCCACCGAGTTGAAGAATTCCTATGACGCCTCTATTCAAAAGAACAGTTTCAATTTAAAATTTTTCCAAGTTCAAGGTACTGTTATTTTTACTTTACAAACCAAAGGTTAGAATTACCGGGGTTATTTCTTCACTTGTTTTAAGGGCTGATCCTGTAGACGGCAGAGCCAAACTGAGCAGAGCCAAACTGAGCAGAGCCAAACTGAGCAGAGCCAAACTGAGCTGTACTGGGCTGGGCTGGTTACACATCCACCATAGTTGCAGGAACTCAAAAGGAGAATGTGGAAAGAAAAGATCAGAGCCAGCAGTTTGGGTTGGTTTTTAGTGTGAAAACGGAAGGCTACAACTGCAACCCATTCTGTGAGTTGGCTGGTGGGGCTAAAACCAATGCTTACTATTAGCTCGTCTTCTCTTTTTATTGTGATGTTAGTTTCCTGCTCTCCTGGTTCTCACCAGTTTGATTAATGAGAATTCTTGTTTCCAGATGCACATAAACAGCATGACAGTAATGATAATGCGTTGGCAACAAGCATGGTAAATTAACTTGTATGTCCCAAATGTCACCCTTTTCCCTATATAGTGCACTACTTTTGACCAGGGCCCATAGGGTAGTGCATTATATAGGAATTAGTGTGCCATTTGGGACGCAGCCCTTAATGTACTTCACTGTACCTGGCTGTCTGAGCAGCAGAGAACAGTTCTCTGTAAGAATGTGTGCTAGACAGGAAAGTGTCTCCTCCAACAAGTCATTAGTGTGGCTTCATGGCTGTGATTAAATATGGAACAGGTTTACAAGAGCGGATTAGGAGAGAGCAGTGATTCAATATGACCCTGTCTGTTTCAAGTAGTGACATTATAGAAGACTGTAGTACCCCTCACTGTCTGATCCACACACACACACACACACGAGACAATGCTGTCCCGATCATCAGTGTTCTGTGGGTGCCAGGTATAGATAGCTGTTTCTATATAGATAGATCTAAATTACATTCTGTTGAATTAGAAATAGGCATACTGTGGCCTGGGTGGTCTAGCGGTTAGTGCAAGGTTTCCGAAACTCAGTCCTCATGACCCCAAGGGGTTTTTGCCCTAGCACTACACAGCTGATTAAAATAATAAACTAATCATCAAGCTTTGATAATTTGATTTAGCTGTGTAGTGTTAGTGCATAAACCAAAACATGCACCCCTTGGGGTCCTGAGGACCAAGTTTGGGAAACGCTAGGTTAGTGCCACCAGCTACAGCACACGTTTGCCAGTATCGCCGTGGGTTTGAATCCGGCCCACTGCCTTTGTGACACATTCTCTGTCTATCTCTGCTCTGTCCAAGAAAAAACAAATCCTTAAAAATGTTAAAAGAAATGAAATCTTCCATCCTGTGACACTTCATCCATATAAACTTTAATAACTGAATGCAGGCTTCATACACATCACGTGACATCTAGAAAAATACATTTATCTTTGTGCATGGATCAAAATGTATTCTGGGCATGGATCAAAATGTATTCTGGGCATGGATCAAAATGTATTCTGGGCATGGATGTGAGTGCACATAAAAGACAAAGGTTAAAGGTTAAAGGTGGATGGGCAGAGCGGTAGGCTCCCATATTGCTTTTACAATACAGAGGAACAGTTGAGGAGAACAGAGGGCGATGGAAAACCTAAGCCAGGTTCATATTCAGAAGGTATGAAACCATTTTGAAACAGATTGAGGTATCACCTGGGGTGTATTCATTACTGCACAACATAGCAAACCGTAGCAAAACGTCTGACAACGGAAAACGGTTTCCAATGAAAACAAGAGTTTCTATTGAACACATTTAGTTTGATCCTTCCCGTTTGGTTCCGTTTGGTTCCTCGTGAATACACACCTGAAGTTGTCGAGCAGAACTTGTCCTTCGATCCAGGGTGACACTAGGGATCACTCCACCGCACCTGAACACCTCATTATACGCTTTTCGCCCAAACACTTATGTCAAATGTCATAGGTTCCATGCATGTCAAATGGGTCAGTGACACAAAGCAGTGTAATTGTGAAACAAAAAAATGTATAGCACAAAAATCACAAATCCAAAACACTATGTTACAATTATTATTTGCATGGCTGTTCTCTTGGGAATTGAATTTATAATGCAGAAGAAAAAAAGGTATCTACATTTTGCAATTGGGGCAGTCTTTTCAATTCACTCGAGCAAATCTATGAAACGAGCTTGAGATTGAGAGAAACTCAGCATGAATGTTACACTACTACTTTTTCCATTTTACACAATGAGTTTACATGTACTGTACATGAATGAACATTATAAACACCAACCTTTTTTGGAACAAACATTTTGACCAATGTATTCTTCCAATAGCCTGTGATAAACTAAAATAAATAATTAACTTATATAGCTAACATATTAACAATCATATATATATATATCTCTTGAATTTTCTGTTAATTTAGCTCAGCTTGAATATGCGTTTTTTATTGTTGATTAATATATACTATGCCAATTTCAAGTGTATATTTCTCAAAACTATGGATTTCATATTTATGACAGTTAGCATATTTATGACAGTTAGCTAGCTAACTCAATGATCCTGCTTTCTGGAACATCCCCAATGTGCTTCTTAATATATACATTTACATTTTAGTCATTTAGCAGACGCTCTTATCCAGAGCGACTTACAGTTAGTGAGTGCATATATGATTATTATTATTTATTTTTTCATACTGGCCCCCCGTGGGAATCGAACCCACAACCCTGGCGTTGCGAACGCCATGCTCTACATCCGAGGCCGGCTACGACAGAGCCTGGATTCGAACCAGGACCACTGCGCCACTCGGGAGGACAATATACAGTCATCGTTGATGAAGACCTACATTGACCACAGATTCACACCACAGATGATGAAAACATTTGTATTGCTCTAAATTGTGCCATTATAATAGCCACACTAAATACAGTAATGTATGTGAAAAATATGTGAAAATACTGAGTGGGGTAGTCAGCTTATATAAGACATAGGTAAAGATGTGTTTGGGATATAAACAGTATACAATACGTGTGTGAGTGTAAGTGGGAATATGTGTGTGTTTGTGTGTGTGTATATATGTGAGATTGTGTGTGTGTACGTGTGACATTGTATGTGTGTGTGCTTGCGTGTGTATATGTGTATACCACCCCCCCCCCCACACACACAGTGACCCCATCCCTCCCATCCCCCAACACAACACAACCCGCTCAGGTAAAGAAGTCTTTGGAGATGGCCTCCACGAAGTTGGGCGCTGACATGAGGATGCCGATGGTGCAGAGGATGGTGAACACAGAGAACGCCATCAGGCACAGCCGGTCGATCACAGACGCCGCAAACTTCCACTCGTTGCACAGCGACTCATCCTCATCCTGGCCCCGGAAGCGCTTGGCGATGTAGCGCACCTCCTCCAGGATCTTGGACATGTCTGAGTCCACGGGGCTCGCAACCCCCACCCCGATGCCGCCTGCCACGCTGCCCAAGTTGGGCAACCCGGCCCCAGGTAGCAGCACCTCCTCGTCCCCCGCCCCCACCAGCCTGGAGCAGATGACGCCCGAGTCGGGGGTGGTGTTGTAGTGCATGCCCTCCATGCCCCGGAAGCCGATGTAGAGCATGTTGCCATTGGTGGGCTGGAGGGTCCCCTGGCTCATACTGAGCTCCACACTGGAGAGGCTGTTGCGCGGATGCTTGTTGTTGCAGGCCAGACGCACACGCTCCTCACCGGGCCGCTTCATACGCAGGAACCAGGCGCACCAGTTCAGGAGCACCACGCGTGTCTTTGTGGGGATGTGTAAGAGTGAGAGAGAGCAAGAGAGAGAAAGAGATAGAGAGAGAGAGAGAGAGAGAGAGAGAGAGAGAGAGAGAGAGAGAGAGAGAGAGAGAGAGAGAGAGAGAGAGAGTGTGTGTGTGTGTATGCGTGTGTCAGTGTTTGTGTGTTTGTGTACACCAGGGGGAGGAGAGACAAGAATAGATTATCAACCCCAGAGAGAAACATGAACAGGAGATGATCGCTATGCAAGCATTGTGCATTAGCACCCAATTCAAACACAGACGCTGACAATTTTAACATGGCTTTTCATTCTGATTATGTTCTCTTAGTATACTGTAGCTATACATGTTTTTGAGAAAAAACATCAGTCTACAATATTTTTCATATCATATATATTTCATTTAATATCTGCTCCATAAAATATGTACAAGTTCAGATCACAGAAAACATATGACAACACACATACACACACACACAGTACATAATAAATTAGCATTCCTGCTCTAGAAAAAGTGTTGGAATAACCTCTGGTAACACTTTAGCATGTATGAACCTTTATCATGTCTATTAAGGCTTATAATTGCATCATAATGCATTTTGCCTGCAGGTTAAGTAAACTTTCAATGTTTTTTGGGCAGTTTCCAAAGTTCTGTGCCCTTTCCACTCACTTCCATCTGCCCTTCAAGCCTGGCCAGCAGTCTCTCCTCCCCTCCCTTCTTTTTCAAACCACATTGGCATTCCTCTCACGCCAATTGCTCAAACTGCCTACTAACCCTGACCACACACACACACACACACACCTCAGAGCAAGGAGCAGCCACTGATCCGCTGATGTAGAACCCTTAACCTTCAGGTCCAATTCTACCTTAATGGTATTTCGGCATTCGGAATTCCGAGTGTATTCGGCGTTCCGAGTGAATGCAGAACGCGGGAATGGGCAGGGATAGAAAGACGGATATGGACTCACCCACTTTGGCATTTTGGCTCCGTCCGGGTCATGATGGTGGTACTGGAGGACCAGGACGGTGGCGATGACGGACAGGCCCACGATGACCATGGTGGTGGCAAAGTACTGGGCTGGAATACAAATAGACAGAGAGAGAGAGAGGCAGGGCTTAACTCAGAGGAATCATAGGAGATGATATACTATGACTGGAGACCAAGGGCATATTCAGTTAATATATGCCACAGAGCAGATGCTTTTATCCAAAGCGACTTATAGAACAGTGAGTGCATACATAGTTTGTGTATGTAATCCCTTTGGGAATTGGACCCGCAAACTTGGCATTACGTGTGCCACGCTGTTACCAACTGAGCCACACAGCAGGAGGTTTACTGTCTTGCATAATGATGTATGGCCCTAAAAAGAGCCCCTCAGAGATTATTAATTTATTTATAAGTGAGCATTTGAACCGTGCCTGGTGTTCAGTCAGTCGCAATGTTCAGAATGTTGAAGATAGAAATGTAGCTAATAAAGGATGTCTGCAGAAAATACTATATTTCTATTACATTTCTATCTCTAGTCTAACTTCTGAACGCTACAGCAAGCTGCAAGGCCGACTTGCCCTATACGCAGACCATGTGACACAGGGTGCAATATCGAAATTTGGTAGTGCAAATGTTCCTCTTCAGTCAAGGACAGACATAGTATAATAAGAAATTAACTAACTTTCTCTCCTGTTAGGTTAGAGCCAGCCCTGGCAAGCTGAATATGTTCCTCAAGTCAGAGACTAAATGGGCCATCATATCATGTTAGGGGGATCTGGCCTCTCTTTATTGGATAGCTTGAAGATGTTGTGGAACCAATCGGCTGGCATGCAGAGAAATAGCTGACATGAGGATATCAATATGTTTAAGAATATCTGCCAATTGTAAAAATATGAAGAGTCATTGGGATTGAACTAAAGATTCATTAGCGGAAAAGATTACACACGCATATCCATTGCTTTGAGCATTGCTCAATACCAAAATATATATATTAATCAAATTATAAAAAGAGACCGCAATCTATACTCCCATGCGGCACTGCAATCAACGCCAAGTCTCATTTTTTCATTTGCTTGTAACATTCATCAATTGACCCATTTGCTTGCCAGACTGTCACATGCTAGTCAACTCACTTCAGCTTAACTAACTGTGCGCCCCATCAGCAATTGTTGGTACAGTAGAAAATAACACTCAATTAAAAAAAAAAATCTCTAACCTGACTGCCTGCCACTTGACCGCGGAGGTCTCAGATGCTAAGTAGTCAGGGTCGTTGTATTCATTAGGGCACACCGTAGTAAAACGTTTTGCAACGGATAACAAAAACAAGCATTTATTAATGAACAACTTCAGGTAGTCCCCTCCCTGTTTCAGTATGTTTTCACTCCGTTTGGTGCTTCTAAATACACCCCAGGTTTCATGGGTGAGTGATCGCACTTATATCCCATAAGTCCAACCGATTAATGACCTACTGTATGTGACAAATGAACTTGGAGGTGCCACCCAGTTTCGCTTTAAAGGAGTGTGTCACTTTTTCTGCTTCATCAGCTCTTTCTACCTCGGGTAATTTATGACCGGTTCGTCTTGCGGATGTGGTGACACAGAGGGGACAGATGGATTGATGAAAGGAATGAATGGATGACTGAGAAGAACAGATGGCTAGAGAAACGGACAGATTAGAAAATTGATAGATTAAGGAGTAGGGTGAGGATGAAGGTCTCCCTGAGCACTCACCTATGAGAGGAACAGAGTCGGATGTGGCCGGCATGATCTCAGCTACCAAGAGCATGAAGACAGTTAGAGAGAGCAGCACAGTGATACCTGGAGAAAGGAGGAAAGAGAGGGAGAGACAGACAGACCATTAGAAGACAAAACCTACTGTACAGTGACGAAAAAAAGTATTTGATCCCCTGCTGATTTTGTACGTTTGCCCACTGAAATGATCAGTCTATAATTTTAATGGTAGGTTTATTTGAACAGTGAGAGACAGAATAACAACAAAAAAATCCAGAAAAATGCATGTCAAAAACGTTATAAATTGATTTGCATTTTAATGAGGGAAATAAGTATTTGACTCCCTCTCAATCAGAAAGATTTCTGGCTCCCAGGTGTCTTTTACACAGGTAACGAGCTGAGATTAGAAGCACACTCTTAAAGGGAGTGCTCCTAATCTCAGCTTGTTACCTGTATAAAAGACACCTGTCCACAGAAGCAATCAATCAATCAGATTCCAAACTCTCCACCATGGCCAAGACCAAAGAGCTCTCCAAATATGTCAGGGACAAGATTGTAGACCTACACAAGGCTGGAATGGGCTACAAGACCATCGCCAAGCAACTTGGTGAGAAGGTGACAACAGTTGGTGCGATTATTCGCAAATGGAAGAAACACAAAATAACTGTCAATCTCCCTCGGCCTGGGGCTCCATGCAAGATCTCACCTCGTGGAGTTGCAATGATCATGAGAACGGTGAGGAATCAGCCCAGAACTACACGGGAGGATCTTGTCAATGATCTCAAGGCAGCTGGGACCATAGTCACCAAGAAAACAATTGGTAACACACTACGCCGTGAAGGATTTAAATCCTGCAGCGCCCGCAAGGTCCCCTTGCTCAAGAAAGCACATATACAAGCCCGTCTGAAGTTTGCCAATGAACATCTGATTGATTCAGATGAGAACTGGGTGAAAGTGTTGTGGTCAAATGAGACCAAAATCGAGCTCTTTGGCATCAACTCAACTCGCCGTGTTTTGGAGGAGGAGGAATGCTGCCTATGACCCCAAGAACACCATCCCCACCGTCAAACATGGAGGTGAAAACATTATGCTTTGGGGGTGTTTTTTCTGCTAAGGGGACAGGACAACTTCACCGCATCAAAGGGACGATGGACGGGGCCATGTACCGTCAAATCTTGGGTGAGAACCTCCTTCCCTCAGCAAGGGCATTGAAAATGGGTTGTGGATGGGTATTCCAGCATGACAATGACCCAAAACACACGGCCAAGGCAACAAAGGAGTGGCTCAAGAAGAAGCACATTAAGGTCCTGGAGTGGACTAGCCAGTCTCCAGACCTTAATCCCATAGAAAATCTGTTTAGGGAGCTGAAGGTTCGAGTTGCCAAACGTCAGCCTCGAAACCTTAATGACTTGGAGAAGATCTGCAAAGAGGAGTGGAACAAAATCCCTCCTGAGATGTGTGCAAACCTGGTGGCCAACTACAAGAAACGTCTGACCTCTGTGATTGCCAACAAGGGTTTTGCCACCAAGTACTAAGTCATGTTTTGGCAGAGGGATCAAATACTTATTTCCCTCATTAAAATGCAAATCATTTATAACATTTTTGACATGCGTTTTTGCTGGATTTTTTTGTTGTTATTCTGACTCTCACTGTTCAAATAAACCTACCATTAAAATTATAGACTGATCATGTCTTTGTCAGCGGGCAAACATACAAATCAGCAGGGGAATCAAATACTTTTTTCCTCACTGTACAGTACATCATACAGTACCAGTCAAAAGTTTGGACACACCTACTCTTCAAGGGTTTTTCTTTATTTTTACTATTTTCTACATTGTAGAATAATAGTGAAGACATCAAAACTATGAAATAACACATATGGAATCATGTAGTAACCAAAAAAGTGTTAAACAAATCAACATATATTTTATACTTAAAATAGCCACCCTTTGCCTTGATGACAGCTTTGCACACTAAATAAATCACAGACAGTGTCACCAGCAAAGCACCCCCACACCATAACACCTCCTCCATGCTTTACGGTGGGGAATACACATGCGGAGATCATCCGTTCACCCACACCGCATCTCACAAAGTCACGGCGGTTGGAACAAAAATCTCCGATTTGGACTCCAGACCAAAGGACAATTTTCCACCGGTCTAATGTCTATTGCTTGTGTTTCTTGGCCCAAGCAAATCTCTTCTTCCTTTTTGGTGTCCTTTATTAGTGGTTTCTTTGCAGCAATTCGACCATGAAGGCCTGATTCACACAGTCTCCTCTGAACAGTTGATTTTGAGATGTGTCTGTTACTTGAACTCTGTGAAGCATTTATTTGGGCTGCAATTTCTGAGGCTGGTAACTCTAATGAACTTATCCTCTGCAGCAGAGGTAATTCTGGGTCTTCCACTCCTGTGGCGGTCCTCATGAGAGCCAGTTTCATCATAGTGCTTGATGGTTTTTGCGACTGCACTTGAAGAAACCTTGTTCAGTATTGACTGACCTTCATGTCTTAAAGCAGGGGTGTCAAACTCATTTAGCTCAGGGGGCCACATGGAGGAAAATCTATTCCCAAGTGGGCCGGACCGGAAAAATAATGGTATATATAACTTAAAAAACAACAACTTCAGATTGTTTTCCTTTGTTTTAATACGATCAACATACAACATAAAGCTGGGAGCCTGAGGACAGTGTGTCCAAAATAGTACCAGCACAACATCACTATTAATCATAAAACACGTCAAGTTGATTTGAAAATTCTAAAGAAAAAGAACACACAAACACACAATGCCTCAGTGATTACCAGACTGTTTCACAGATCACAAAACTATATCAGGGGTGTCATTTCTCAGGCAGAAATGTAGATAAAAATAATGAAATCCTGTTCCCCAAACAAGTGCAAAAACCAACAAGTCAAGAATAGGTTAAATATACAAATAAAAATAAAACAATTAAAAACATAGCACATCAACATAAAAACATATAAAAATAAACGGGGGGCCCGAGGACAGTGTCCAAAAACACAATCAATCTCAATCAATCAATTTTTTTTTATTACCCTTCTTACATCAGCTAAAATCCAGTGCTGTACAAAAACCCCGCCTAAAACCCCAAACACTATTCAGGGGTAAACACGGGGGCTAGGAAAAACTCCCCAGAAAGGGGGAAAAACCCAGGGAAAAAACCTAAGAGGAACCAGGCTATGAGGGGTGGGGCCCGTCCTCTTCTGGCTGTCCGGGTGGAGATTTTAAAAGAACCATGCCAAGTGTTTAAAATGTTCATAAGTACAAACAGGGCAAATAATAATCGGAATAAAACTCATTGCTTTTCTAGCCATCTTAAGATTGAAAACAGCGGGCTGGGACAGGTTGGGGGTTTCCCTAACCGCAGGAGAAACAGTTTTTAAAAGGAATACACAAGGGCCCGCGGACTGGGGACAGCAAGGAGTCCCACGGGGCCCGGGAGTTCCCGACTATGTCCTACTCGTTTTCCCCAGTTGGCTTTTTTTAGCCATCATTAAAATTGAAACACAGGGTTTGGGGCGTAGGGTTTCGAGCCGCAGGGAAACAGTTGAAACGGAAAAGCACAAGCCGGCACTGGGGGGCAGCAGGTTCCAATGCCCGGTAGTCCTGACGTATGGGCCTAGGGCTCAGGTTCTCAGAGAAAGAAGAACAGAGAATTAAGAAGCATACTAAATTCACACGGACCTGGATAAGACAGGAGAAGTACTGGCCACAGCAGGGGGTTTTCCCTGTTTTGGGCATAATGAGGGTAGGGCCCCCTAAAAGGCCCCTCAGAGATTATTAATTTTTTAAAAAGTGAGAATTTAAACCCCGTGCCTGGTGTTCGGGGGGGTCGCCCGGCCCCAATTTCAAAATTTTGAAAAAAAATGTAGTAATAAAGGAGTCCTGCAAAAAATCTATATTTCTATTCTTTTTCTTTTCTCTAGCCCTAATTTGAACGCTACAAAAAGCTCCCAAGGGCCGACTTCCCCCTTAACGCAGAAAATTGACACGGGTCAATATCAAAAAATTTGGTAGTTGGCAAATTTTTCCTCTTAAACCAAGGACAGAAATGGGATAAAAAAATTAACAACTTTCTCTCCTTTAGGTTAGACCCCGCCCGGGCAAGTTGAATATGTTCCTCAAAGTCAGAGAAAAAGGGGCCATCATACATTTTGGGGGGGATCTCCTCTCTTTTTGGATAGCTTGAAGATTTTTGTGGAACCAAGGGGTGGATGCGGGAAAATAGTTTACATGAGGATATCAAATGTTTAAAAATATCGGGCCAATTGTAAAAATATGAAGAGCCCCTTGGGGTTTGAACAAAAAAGATTCATTGGGGGAAAAGATTACAACCATATCCTTTGGTTTTGGCATTGCCCCCAAACCAAAAATATAAAAAATTAAATTTAATAAAATTTTAAAAAGAGACCGCAACTATACCCCCATGCGGGCATTTGAAATTACCCCAAAGTTTTAATTTTTTCTTTTTCTTTTTAAATTAATAAAAGTGCCCATTGCTTGCCAGACGTCCACATGTTTGTCAACTCACTTCAGCTTAACTAACTTTTCCCCCCATCAAAATTTTTGGTACAGTAAAAAAAAACCCCCTAAATTAAAAAAAAAATCTCAAACCCTTTGACGGGCCTCCCCCATTTGGAACCGCGAGGTCCAGAGCTAAGTATTCCAGGGGGTTTTATTCATTGGGGGGCACACCGTAGTAAACGTTTCCCAAGGGAAAACCCAAAAACAAGCATTTTTTAATGAACAACTTCGGGAGCCCCCTCCCGGTTTCAGTATGTTTTCACCCCGGTTGGGCTTTAAATACACCCCGGGGTTCATGGGTGGTAAACCGCACTTAAAAATCCCAAAAGCCCAAACCCCGTTATGCCCAAACTGTGTGAAAAATAAACTTGGAGGTGCCCCCCCTTTTTTCGTTTTAAAAAGGAGGGGTGTCATTTTTTTGTTTAAATTTTACCCTCTTTTCTACCTCGGGAAATTTTAATGCCCGGGTTTTCGCCCTTGCATGGGGTTTAAACACAGGGGGGGACAAAA